CCATCCCCTCCCACCTCTGCCCCACCCCTTCTGTGCGGTACAGCGTCAAACTAGCGTCTTTGTTGCAAACCTCCCCGAAAGGTGACAGCGTCAAACAATCCCAGTTGCCGTCCTATTGTCGAGAGAAAGTGTTGACTAAACTGATTTGCCTATTGGCTGTTGATAAAAGTCTTTAGACATGCTTCATTCCATTTCCGCGGACCCTTTGGCAAATGTAACGATTTTTTTAAACCTTTTTAAAAAAAGTTCAGTGTCATAAAAAAGCCCCAAACAGCAAAACGTTCATGATACCGGATGCCAATTTTGGACAACTGTCGAGGTTGCTCCTTCTTTTGAATAAGTTGCACAAAAGGTAAAGACAATAATTTCATGGGATAACCATAAGTGAACATGAGGGGAAAAAATGTCTAGAAATCAGTTTTACGTGGGAAAAAAAGTTGTATTTTATTTGACAACAAGTTCGTAATATTATGTGCAAAGTTGTAATTGTACAAGCATGTAATTTTACATGATTAAAGTTTCAATTTTACAAGAAAAACTTTTCCTGGGTAAAAAGTTGTACTTTAACATTTGAAATAGATGCCTTTTGCGCAGAAAAAAAAGTCTTAATTTTTGTCAGGGAAAAGAAATGCAGTTCTTGTGGGAGGAACAAGTTAAAAATTTTGATTAAAAAAAAAATCTGCAAAAGACAGCTTTTGCAATGACATTTTTTATTTAAAAAGGAAAAAAAGATAAGCTTTGATATTGTAAATACAATTCCGCATGTACTTTGACGAAGTTGTTGAAAAAAAATTGTTAGTTTTTCCTGGGGGGAGAGAAAACGAAACTGAAAAAAGTGCTGCAATTTGACATGAAAAAGTAAACATTTTATGTCATTTTATCTGGAAAAAAATTGAAATTCCTATGGGGGGAGTGAAATCAGAATTTGTCAATGAAAATGTTATTTTTAAATTTGCAAAAAAAAATGTTTCAAATGTCCATTGCCATCTAGTCTATTTGTGTTAGGCCAACAATTGTGTATGCGCACTCACACACACTTTCACACACACAGTATTATCGTAAGCCCTTTGACATTTTAACCCAACGACTGGATAAGCTCATCAACCCGATGGTCAGTTGTTGTGTCGGGCCGCGACCGCTGTTGTCTCATCTTGTCTTGGCATCGGCCGCGTTGTCCCCGCTTGTCATGCGGAGGGAACTCCGTGTGAAAGCGATCCATGTGTATTTTCGGCACACCGACTTTTTTTCCCCGCTGCCTGTCTAAGCAGGGATGTCAGATGGCCGTATATTGATATATAAGTGTATGTGTCTGTGTATACGTTTATGAAAATATATATGTATATGTGTGTATATATATATATATTTATATATACATATGTAATACACACACACACACACACACGTGTGTGTGTGTATGTGTACGTGTATATGTGTATAATATATATATATATATATATATATATATATATATATATATATAAACGTGTGTGCATATCGGCAGCATTTCCAAGAAGGCCCCAAATGAAGCGAGCAATTGCAGCACCGTGCTCACGGCCATCCATAGTGGAGTGCCAACGGGATCCTTGCCTCTTGCTTTTTTTTTTTTTTTTTTGCACTGCTCTTGCGTCACTGCCTCCAGGGGAGGCTATTTTTAGAACTGGACCAGCATATTCTCCTAGCAAACAACGTCACGCGCTCTGCTTGCGTATGCCCGGATTATTGTGACGGAGCTATTTTTACCCACTGTGTTTGGTGTGTGAATGATTTTATTTTTTTTTTCTGGGTCAAGCTTGGCGCTCACACACTGGATTCTTCCAGGTCTTGCATCTGTATCAGGCTCTAACGGAAAGCAGGAGAAACGGATTTACACAGGACCGCCTTCTTTGTCGTGGTTTGCTGTGCTGCTGTCAAAGAAGATTACATGTATAGATTATGTGCATTAGTTGTGAAAATCTGGACCACGAGTTCTACCTTGGGGCCCCACAAAAATAATTTACAAGGAACGTTATTAGCTCCATATGAGGACCAGCAGGCAACAAAATAACAAATATGACTCCTTCCTGCTTTTTGCTTGCTCCAATCAACTCATTTTACAGCAAAGCAGTGTTGCCCATCTTGCCAGCCATTTTGGAGCATCTTGCAACACTGACTAAATACTGTTTAATTATACAAAGTCCCTCAAGAAAGATTTAATTCTCCTCTTTCACCAGAGGAAAAAAAAAGACTTTTTCCTCATCAAAAAATCCGGATTGGGTTTATGCATGAAAGATGCCGTAAATCCGTTCTAGACTCACCCCCAATTTTAATTTAAAAAAAAAACAGTTGCACATTATAATATTGTACAGTACCTTATAAAAGAATACAGAGTTGCCATCATTAAAAACAATGTAAAGATTGTTTTTTGCTTCAATTCATTGAACATGGTGCTGCTCTTTGGAGTATGTACCTTGGCCACTTGGGGGGGTAGCTGTACATTAGAGTCATATAGATGTACATGGAGACAGTCACAGCTTCTTAATAAATTGCAGTAATTAGTCATTCCTTGCAGAGGATAAAGAACATGTGCCAAAGAGTTTAGTTATATTGTCTCCAGGTATTGATGCAATGTTTGTGTCGAAATATTTCTGTCGCTTGGTGTGAAGTGCATTGATTAGCGTGCACTCACACCATACCGTGCTTGAATCCCAGAACCGGAACAGTACCTTCGAAAAAAACAAAACTCCTAAGTTAGCTCAATGTGGTCCAAATTGAAAAGGATTGCACAAGTTTATATTATTAAGATGGTGATCAGATTTCATTTCTGTAAGAAAGTCAACAATGAGGGTTTGGGCTCCTCACCCCCTGCGACCTTCCCCGCTAAATTCAGGCTCCTCGGTTCTGAGACCTCTCGGGTTTTGGTGCCGTGGGCTTTCCTTGCGGCCCCTTCCGCTAGCCTACTTTTATCCCAGCTTTTCCCGAGTGGGAAGTTATTTTCGGCAAAAAACGTCGTGTCCTGCTCTGATTTGTGTGCGTGCGTTTTTTTTCTCCTGCTGCAAAGCGCTGATGATGTACTTCCTAAAAAAAGCAGGCTACAGTAGGCAGTTAGGTAGGCGCTTGCTTGTCTGCATGTGTTGTGTGCGGTGCCAACTCAGGATGCTCCCGAGGGTTTACGGCCTCGAGCTTGAGAGTCTGAAAAATTTGTTTGCTCTAAATGATTATGTCAGATCATTTTTAAAAAGTGCGTATGTACTAGTTCCCAACGAATTAATCCTCCCTACCTTAGCTTTGGGCCGATTAAAAGTCCCTTTGACCATAATTTTTTAAGTTTAACATTTTAATATTTTTTATTTTTTAACCTTGGCTTATACAATTAAAAAAAAGAAACAAGGTACAGTACAGTGTGAACCATTAAAAAATGTTTCAAGATGTTTAATATACCACCCCCCCTGGTTGAAATATTCTGTCAAAATCAATGTTTAATAAATACAATTGCACTTTGCGTATTTAACCAAAGGAAACTTTTTCTAGAGAAACTCCGGTTAGCCGATGAGGGAAGGGGATTAGCCACAAAAGTGTGGCCACAGAACGACTTAAACTCCCATCTCAAGCCGCCAGCGCAGTCCATTAGGTAATTGTTGCTTTTCTGCATGTGCCAGCAGGCTTAAGTGGTGTTGGGGCATCCGCTCATACGCATAAGAGAGACCCCCCACTCCTGATCCCCCCCCTCCACTCGTGCAACTCCAGGTGCCGCCACCAAAGCAGGTCTTTGTTTGCGGGATAAATAACACGGTGGGGCGATTTGTGAGGCCGCGGCGATTACGGGCCGTACGCCAGAGAAACGCGCTGAGGAATGAGTGGACGTTAAGCTTATGCAATGCTCGCCAGTCACATTTGGACGCGTGGGTCGCTCGTTCTAACTCCATACATGCTCAGCTGCACAAAAAAAACCCCGGTAAACCTTCACAAGTACAAACGCTTTGTTACCGTGCTCAAGTCTCCTTTTCAGCACGTCTCTTCTTGATGACGTGCATTTCCGATGACTGTTGACATTCACTCTCTATACATTTGGAAACGGGTTTTTAGACTTTGTAAGCATTGCTTTGTCAACTTGGCCTGCGATATTTGTCAACCTTCCCGCATTACTAAACTATGACTGACTAAACTGGAAAAGATCCCCAAAAAATAGATGGAAAGAAAATACTTCAGCTTTTTGTACATTGTTAAATATTTGCTATTTTTTTGTTTGCTCTTCCTGGGCGGCCTCGGTCAAGGTGGAAGGAATTATGAACAGTTCAAAATAGCAGCCAGTCTAAGTGCAAAACTTTCTGACTTCTGCTAGATCCCCCCCGCCCATCAAAAAAACTAGTCATAAACACCTACTAGAACAGCTGAAGTTGATTTGGGGTTAGCCCGAAGCAATCAAATGGTGTCAGGTGTGACTCCTATTTAAGGCGAGTAGAGGTAATATTAACACAGCCTTACAAGTGATTCACTTGCAAAAAAGTTTGGAATGGATTTATCGCATCCCTACATTGAAATTTTTTTTTAAAAATAATCACAAAAACCCGGAAACTGGAACAGGGGTGTGTAGACTTTTTATATCCACTGTTCATCCAGCTGAACTCCCGGCACCCCAATGCTCCCCACTAAAACTCTAATCCCTCTTATTGCTGAGTGAGCCCCCCCATGTGACGGATGGAGCCCAAGGTCCGGGGACGCTTGTCAGCATTACTAAACTATGACTGACTAAACTGGAAAAGATCCCCAAAAAATAGATGGAAAGAAAATACTTCAGCTTTTTGTACATTGTTAAATATTTGCTATTTTTTTGTTTGCTCTTCCTGGGCGGCCTCGGTCAAGGTGGAAGGAATTATGAACAGTTCAAAATAGCAGCCAGTCTAAGTGCAAAACTTTCTGACTTCTGCTAGATCCCCCCCGCCCATCAAAAAAACTAGTCATAAACACCTACTAGAACAGCTGAAGTTGATTTGGGGTTAGCCCGAAGCAATCAAATGGTGTCAGGTGTGACTCCTATTTAAGGCGAGTAGAGGTAATATTAACACAGCCTTACAAGTGATTCACTTGCAAAAAAGTTTGGAATGGATTTATCGCATCCCTACATTGAAATTTTTTTTTAAAAATAATCACAAAAACCCGGAAACTGGAACAGGGGTGTGTAGACTTTTTATATCCACTGTTCATCCAGCTGAACTCCCGGCACCCACACGTTGCATATGGACATGCACCGCCCTCGCCTTGTGCAACGCGCGGGCTTGTCAGGACCCCACACACACACACACACACACACACACACACACACACACACACACACACACACACAAAATATCGACCCTGTGTATAAGTAGAGAAGTTTATGAAGGGAAGGACTTACTCGAACAGGAGATGCCGGATGGAGAGAGAGCGTACACGGTGTTCAGCTCACTGTGAGATCTGCTATTTTGGGTTTTTTTTTTTGGCAATTTGAGCATTTTCAAACTTTTTCTGATGGAATCTAAATCTCTCCCCCCCTACCCCCGCTAACAGGAGCCATCCATGAGGACGTCAGAGTGGCTGATTTGACGCATCGCTCGTAGGAAAGCGGAGTTTCTCCTCTTCCCTTTCTCCCTTTCCACCCCCCCCCTTCTACCCTGTCACTCTTCACCTCAGCCCCCCCTTTTCCAACCCCACCCCTCCCTCCACCATGCTTATCAAGGAGTACCGCATCCCCATGCCCATGAGTGTGGAGGAGTACCGAATCGCCCAGCTCTATATGATTCAGGTGAGGCGCCATGTGGTTGATGGTCAAGGTCAGCAAGACGTAAAGACAATCAGAAGGCAGGGCCTGACCAAGATGGATTTTTTAATTTTAATTTTTATTTTTTTAAGGCCGATGCCAATTCCCTTATTTAAAAATATCATATTTAAAGTAAAAAAAAAATACTAAAAGACAAAATATTGTAAAATAGTCAAATATTCTGCCCGCAATTCATAGCTTTATTGTTATAAGCATTAAGGGACCCAAAAATCTATATTTTTTAATAATTGGCTGTTTAATCGGTTATCAGGGGTTTTTTTTCTGCCATATATCAGCATCAGCCTAAAAAAAAATCCACATTGGTCGGGCCCTACTTATGACACTGTGACACCGATGCTATTCACTAGCCTGCCAATGGTGTTTTCTGATATGTGTTAGCATTAAGCTGCGCATTGCGACATAATAGCGATAGACACAGTCTGGCAAGTCCACACTGAAAGGGTCCAGATAACAAATGCAGAGCCCGCCACTGGTTTACACCCGTCACAGGCTATGGTGAGGTTGCGAGATGGAATATATACCCCACGTCTGCATCGCTTGCATGTCAAGATTTTTGGGAGGTGGTACAATTTTGATCACAAGGGAATAGGGACATATTTGCAATTGCAATTTCGTGATGTCCGAGGTTCTCCGAGCTGGAAAAGGCCCAAAATTACCTCCAATTTTGATATGCAAAAAAAACCCTGGATTTTTAAACTTTAAAAAAAAAAAAAAAAAAAATCTCCTCATTGGGTGCGCACACTTGCCGGAGGATTTATTTTAATCGAGTGGTGCTGCAAGCTGATCCGCTGAACACACACACACACGCACACACACACACACACACACACACACACACACACACACACACACACACACACACACACACACACACAGGAGAAAGGCCGACTCGTCAGAACGTTCTGCATTATTTAACAGCAGATGTACTTTACTCGACTGTCTCCCCTTTTTACCTTTGAGAGATTTTGATTTCCATCCGCTGTGTATGGTCATCCCCGCTAGTCAGGGGCGTTTCGAGACCCTCTGAGAGGCCCCAGGCAAGAAAGACCACGGAGAACCACTAGACAGAAAAAAATAGATGCATATAAGCACTGATCCGTTTTGAAAAATAATTGTATTTTTTCCCACCCACGTTATTGCGATTGCGATTTAATGTGCAATTATTTTTTTTTTCAAAGGCGCTCCTCCCAGACATTTTTTTAACAAACACAAGCAAAAATTACTCAGTGTTACGCATCAGATTTATTGTATGACATTGATTTTTTTGCTCTAATAAATTTGTCTTATCCTCAAATGAATCATCAATTAGTATACAAGAGTTAATCTGCTTCAATTAGGGTTAAGAAAATGTTTCACACTTTTGACTCTCTGAAGCGTCACGACGACAACTCGACAAAATCCAGCCGGTCGGCAACATGAGTCATAAACCCCAAAAGCAGTCGGCGCCCATACTCATGTCTGCAAAAAAACGATCCGAGGTTTTCTGTATTTCACCACCCCGCCTCCCCCCTGATGTTTTGCATGCCAATACGTCAAGCATGCAAAGGAGGGGAGCGGTTAACGCCAGTGGCCCGTAGTTACCTTTCCCCCTGACCTGCACCGCCTCGCTGATGGGAGGCTGCCGTCTCCCTGGCAACCATGACATCAGCATCAGCAGCAGCAGCGTGCCAGCGGTCAGGAGGGGTTGATGGCAAAAAAAAAAAAAACGAAAGAGAGATGAAGGTGGGAGGGAAATTGGGGAGGGGTTGGCTCACATTTGGCTGCAGAGCATTTACATTACCGCTGGTCTTGTAATATTTGCTTTTGTTGTTTTTACCCGTCTTCATCTATTTTCGATTTATCTTGCTGAAGAAATAATGGGCCTTGTTTTGAATTATGTAAAGCGCAGCACGTCGACCTCACAGTGCAGAGGTGTGTTCGATTCTGGCTCCGGCCTCCCTGTGTGGAGTTTGCATGTTCTACCCGGGCCTGCGTGGGTTTTCTCCGGGTGCTCCGTTTGTGAGGATAAAGCGAATCGGAAAATGAATGGCTGGATGGATTATGTAAATTTTAAATAAAAAATATAAATAAAAAAACGCGGCATATCGTTTCCGATGCAGTGGTCACGCGTTTATCGCATGGGTTAAGTTCCAAAAATAACACCAATGTGTGGGAATTCTTGCCCGTTTTTCTTTTGGATGTACAGCTTGACCTGTTCACCAGTGCGGGGTCTCCGTTGTCGTATTTTCCACTTCATAATGCGCCACACATTTGCAAGTCCCTCCTTCCCACTTTCGTCACGCGTGACGACTCATTTTGAATTCATCCTCGCCGCCGTCGGGTTCGGGTGAGAAATGAAATATAGCTGCCGCCGCGTCTCTGCATCTCAATCAGGAAACTGCATGAACTAAATTGCACCAAAAAATAAATAAATACACGCCACAGGATGTGACTCCCTGACACTTACAGCAGAAGCCTTTTGCGGAGGTGACGCTGTTTTAGTTAGTGATGACTTGATGGGAGACTGGCCAAAATGTGACGCAGGCTTCACAGTGGAAGCACGAGAGTGGAAAAGGGTTTGGAGGGCTGCGCCTTATGGCCTTCAAATAAAATGACAAAAATTCAACTTCCAATTTGAAATTGCAAGTGACAATCAGATCAAATCTAGATTCCCCCCCCGCCCCCCCTTCTGAAATTTGCATGATTTCCCAAACACCAGCATGAACTTGCATCAACTTCCCCAGAAATACAATTCATATTTTGGCATCTTTCCCCATTCAAAAGAATGGAAATGCCATTAATCCGTTCCAGCTTCCCCACAAAATATTTTTTTACCGGTAAATAATTTTTGCCACATTTTGCTACAGGTCAATCGACATTGTGCTGATCTGATTGCACTGGATTTATCGCAGCAGCAAATAGCGAGTCATTTGCCGGACTCGATTCCTGCAGCCAATTTAGGCAAGGGAAAGCAGAGGAGAGGCCACGCAATGAATCAGTCCAGTCTGCAGGAGGAGGAGAACACTCAGCGTCCGGCGTAGCAGACCTCATTGGCGATGACAGCTCATTTATTAGCCGCAGGCCTCGCTCTCTACAGCAACGCAGACGCGGCGCTGCTCACACGGCCCGGAAACTGCTCCTCGTTTTTTAGGGCGACAAAACCGTATTTGGTGGCGGAAGTACGATCAAAATGCACTGGATGTTTTCAAAGCGTTCCCTGATATTAAAAATGTCCAAATAATATTTGGAGACCACTTCTTTAATGACAACCACTTTATGGGACTTGGAACCAAAGTGGATGACACAAGTGAGATTTCTCCCAAATTGTCTGTTTTGTTTTGAGTTAACTTTACACGTATCATAAATCACGCCAGAAACTTCAAAACAAAAAATGCGTTTGCACAAATAATTGCCTTCCTCGACCTTTTATTCGGGGGGCTGGGAGCCAAATTTGGTGACAGAAGTGGGAGCTCAAAATTGACTGCATGTTGTAAATATGTTCGATGAGCAGCGTTTGTAATGCTGTTCCTTGCCCTCTGTTTAGTGCTTGGAACCAGAAGTGAGGCTTCAAAATGTAGGCTCCTCCACTTTCACTTGACATAAAAAGACCAGAAACAAAAATCCCCCAAAATGTGTCCAAATAATGACCTTTATGACCTTTATGTGGGGGAGCTCAAAATGTACAGAATGGTGTTGCGATATTGAAACATGACTTTACCTCTTCAATGACCAAGCCCTTTTTCAGTTCTTGGAACACAAAGTGAGTAAAAATAAAATGCAAGTTGTAAAAAGGTTCTGCAGTTTTCCACAGCTTTAAATTTATCTTCTTTAACAATCAGCCCTGAATTAATGCCGATTGGAACCATATTTGGTGACCAAAGTGGGAAAAAAAAAAAAAAAAAATGTTTCTGCAAAATACAGTAGTTCCCTGCGTCCTATTGAAAATGACTTTACATTATTTGGAGTTGGTGTCTTTAACAGTGAGCCCTTTTTGGGGCTTGGAACCGAATTTGGCGACAGAAGTGAGAGCTCAAAATGCACCATTGGTTCCCTGTGCTATATTCAAGGTGACGTTACGGTGTGGTGACTATGAGCCCTTTATTGGTTATTGGGACCATATTTGATAACCAGAGTGGGAGCTAAAAAAAAATAAAAAATTCTCATTTCTCCATAAGTTTTCATTTAGCTTTTGTTTAATTTTGATATATATTGGACTGGAAATCTCTTGGAAAGTTTTCTGACTGTTAAGGTTCCATTTTCCATGTTTTTTTTTTTCTTGTGGCAGAAAAAGAGCCGCGAGGAGAGCTGCGGCGAGGGCAGCGGCGTGGAGATCCTAAAAAACAAACCGTACACGGACGGACCGGGCGGAACGGGCCAGTACACGCACAAGGTTTACCACATCGGCATGCACATTCCCAGCTGGTTCCGCTCCATCCTGCCCAAAGCGGCGTTGAGGGTGGAAGAGGAGTCGTGGAACGCCTATCCTTACACGCGCACGCGGTGAGATCTTGAGTGGCAATCAAATGTTGAGATTCACAACATATTCCCAAGTCCAAAGTGTCAGGAAAGCAACGATTTTTGGATTTAATGCGCTGTTTCATGAAAGATATACACACACACATATATATATATATATATATATATATACACACACACACACACACACACATTTTTAAAAATAAAAACTTTAGGTATAATAATGTGTTGACAAAAAAAGTGTTTTGCTGTGATTGCAGCATGTGGGATGTACTATTCTGCAGCTTGAAGCACCTTATTGTACCCTGCGTGGTCCTTTCAGATACACGTGTCCCTTCGTGGAGAAGTTCTCCATTGACATCGAGACGTACTACATGAGCGACACTGGCAACCAGCCGGATGTTTTCAACATGTCGGCCGCCGACAAGAGGCAGAGGACCGTCGGTAAGGCCGGAAATCATTTCCCTGTCAACAGACACTTTGCATGCTGCATCTTCTGCACTGATGCTGCATAGGGATGGGCGATATTGACTTCAAATCAAATCGCTTCCTCCGTTTTCCACATGAGGTGCTGCTGAGGCCCACTTGTGGCCAACTGGTGCTACTACAATACTTTTTTGGGGTGCTCATTTCAGCAGTTGTGGCAGTCGTCCCATTGATGATGTTTGTTTTGATTTGTGTGGGGTGCTTATAAAATATTTCATGTTATGATAAGAAAAATTGTACATTTCTACGGTAATTCAGCAAATGAGAGAATTTCAATGGCATTCTTTTTTTTTAAAATGCTGATTTCTAGTTGTTAAATAATTTTTAAAAAGTATTGAAATTATTTTGTTTTTGAGACAAGAAATGTTTTTATCTGTATTTCTCACTAAAAACATTTTTTTAAACTTTGTGGTAGGTATCATTTACAAATATTTATTTAAAGGATATTTGAAAAGATAATGTGTGTATAAAATTATATTTGAAAAAAAAGTTGAGCGATTCTCATCCCGAAAATATTTTTTTAAAAATATGTATTCAATGTTTATTTTGGTGTTAAAAGATGTGGATTTCTTTTTAATTATTTGGGTATTTACAATGTATGTATGTATGTATGAAATATATTTCAAAAATATATTGCATTGAATATTGTATCATTATTGTTTCATTGTATAATTAAAAAAACGAATTTTATTTAAGTAATATTATAAATATTGTAAAGCAGTATTGGATTAGATTTTCAAAATGCTTTTTTTGTAACCTCTTTTTAACGGCAGACCCCATCGACATCGTGACGGACCCCATCGCTCCCCACGAGTACAAGGCCGAGGAGGACCCGCGGCTATACAAGTCTGCCAAGACCCAGCGTGGCCCCCTGCTGGACGACTGGATAGAAGAGTACAACAACAACCCGGGCAGGACGCCCGTCATGTGCGCTTACAAGCTGTGCAAGGTGGAATTTCGCTACTGGGGCATGCAGTCCAAGATTGAGAGATTCATCCATGACGTTGGTGAGTGCGTTTCTACATTTCTTCCTTCCACATTTCTCGACTGAATCAAACCGTTCCAACTTCAAATTATTTAACTCAATCGAATCCACAAGAGTTCCACATGGACACACAATTTCTACAGAAATTGCATTCTCCAGTGACCATGAACTTGCATTGCATTCCGTTCTTGTAGGACTAAGAAAGGTAATGGTACGCGCCCACCGGCAGGCCTGGTGCTGGCAAGACGAGTGGTACGGTCTGACCATGGAGGACATCAGGCAGCTGGAGCTGGAGACCCAGCTGACCCTGGCCAGGAAGATGGCACAGTTCTGCCTGGTAGAGGAGGCCACCGAGGCCAACGGCGACACGCCGCCTGCCGTCAAGGAGCAGGAGGTCAAGGAGGCGGCGGAGGCGGAGGTGACGGTGAGCGCCACTCCTACCAACACGCTGCAGCCCCGCGGCGTGCTCACCAAGCAGTGGTCCACCTCCTCGCGCTCCTCCCGCTCCTCAAAACGAGGAGGTGAGTCCCTTCTCGCGTTCCACCGTGACTCGTTGACTTTGTCATTTTGGCAAGGCCTGGAGGGAGAGAGTCCAAGGAGCCTAAGAAAGTCTTGCATGTGATTTTTAAAATTTAACATTTAATAATATTAATATGTGGTCATTCATTTATGAAATTCATTTTAAATATATTTTATTTTTGGACTTGGTCCAAAAATCTAGATGTAGATATTAAAAACAATGAATACATGACATTGATATATTTCTGCAGAAAAAAATGGTTGAAGGAAAAAACAACAAATGGGCGGGGCTTTTCTGTATTACATAACCGTGTGCAACCTGTTGGCCTACTACTGCGCTATTTTTAGCACAGCACAGCAGCAGCTCACCAGACCCCGTCCAATGAGGCTGGCGGAGGGGGAGGATTTCTGCTATCTATGCCCAGATTCACACGCGCACACACACACACTACCGGTGGTCCCTCGCAGGCCTATTATTAGAAGTAGCGTGACATTCCAGAGCAGCTCCAGCTGTAACCTCCCCGCCATGATGGAGCAGACCTGCCAATTTCCTCTCTTTGACGCAGCGTGCGGTCCGACTGCCTGGGAGCTGCGCGCGTGAGACTCGTGCATGTTTATATAACACCATGTGTGGGAGTGGAAGCCGCTGGTGCAATATTTCTTTGTGCTCGTTTGGGGAAAATGTGTTAAAACGAGCTGGAAAACTCAAAATGTCCCCTGTGACGCAGTGGTCCCCCGCAATATCTTGAATTGGGTTTGTCGTGCCCCAAATAGTGTTATCTGCCTGGATACCGCTACTGAAACGGTACCACGGCGAAATTTGAAAACAACAGTAAAAAGCAGTGAAATGATAGCTGACAGCTGAGCAACTTCAAATCTATATTGGTATGTTTGGAAGTATGTTTCACTGAATTTATTTGAAGCACGTGAGAGCGATGAAATGACTTTGATCAGTTGATATGGCCTCTCAAAATGGTGGGTTTTCGTCTGGCACATCCCCACTCGATAAACGGGGGTTGATTATAATGTCCGATCTTTTATGCCTTGGCAGTGAGCCCGTCCCGACATAGCATCTCGGAATGGAGGATGCAGAGTATCGCGCGGGACTCGGACGACAGCTCGGACGAAGAGTTCTTCGACGCTCACGGTAAGGCACTAAGACCAGATCGGAGCAGGCTTCTTGAACGCGTTCTCTGCCATTGACGGCAGTAGACGTGCAAGAACCATTTTAACGAGGCTGTTAGTGATGAAGAATTGTGAGCTCAATGTGGTCATTGTCACTCTTTCCACGGGTCTTTCATTGGACCTCCTAGAAAAGAAAAGCGCGCGCCACTGTCTTTACATCGATGTGTTTTCATGCAAGCCTTTTTCCAGGAAGCTGACTCTGCATGCATCTTTCTAACCACAGATCAGTTCTTAAGCTTCCCAGATACCCAGCATGCTTTGGGCTGCAGTTGAAATAAACCTCCTCCTGCTCCCCTCTATCCACTCCTACGCCCTGCCACCGCGCCGGATGACTTTGTTCCAGGACTCTGGTCGAGTGGCTGGTTGGAGTGTCAGAAGTTCATAAATCACTCTCATGATACACCCCAGCGAGCAATAAAAGTTTCCTCATTGTTTGTGTTTCTCTCGCAATGTCATTTGCTTACATACATTTTAGTTTTCTGTTTTATCTGCAGCTTAGTGTGTTTATGATTTACATTGAGGGGTAAGAAGGAGGTGCGTCCGTGCTCTTAAATTCATATTAAGAGCACCTTGGTATCATAAATGAATGTTTGGGCATTGACATCCTTAACTGGGGTTATTGTTTCATAAAGGCAACCAGACGTTTGCTCCCTTACAAAGCCTATGCGGATATCATTGCTGTCGGGCGGAAACCCTCTATGTCCAAATATGGTCAATGTCCCCCCCCCCCCCTCCTCCCCATAAAGTTTTACTATAGGTCTATCCCCACATTGTCGCTTATTTAATCAACGACAAAGTCATAAATTAGCAATTGTTTATTTTTTTGCGACTTAAAATGGCCATTGAATATGCCTTTGTGGCAGTGTTGTATTAATGCTGCGGCACAACTATACACAGTATGTTAGCAATGGAAGGCATAATACTAAAATAACATATTATGATGCTTGGTAACTCAAGCAAGATGGTGTCGTCCCATTCAAAAAGAGTCATTGGGTTCTGCCTGACAGCAAAGATGTAATTTTGGAAATGACTGCACGACAGTTAGATTATTTACGAATCAAGGGCATGACTCAATAGGAAATAAAATTCCAATGAAAAGTGACTCCTGTATCCAGTTTGTTTGCCTGTCTCCTTTGTGTTTGTCAATGCGAGTAGGCAGTAGAACATAACGGGCAAACATTTTTACGTAACTTAAGGAACACTATTGAGATCCAATATAAGACCTGTATCTGAATATACATGGAGATGGTCACTAGTTGTTCTTCACAGAGGATAAAGAATATATGCCTTGAGCATTATTATTTTTTTCTCTGTTGTGAAGTGACTCAAGTTGGCCGCCACTGTAGAGCAATTGTATCTCAAAACGTTTGCTCGCAAGCCAAACCATAAAATTGTCTCAATGACGGCGAGTCAATTCTCTCCAGTATTTTATACCATTTAAAAAAACAGTGCACCGTTGTCTGTAATGACGGAATTTACGATATAGTTCTTTTCTTGGATCTCATCAGATTGTGCAGGCGTGTGTATAAATACGATAAACCGGTTCTCCAACTTTTTACACCAAGTACTCCTTAAAAATGAATGTAGCTCTCCACGTTGTAGGCCAAGGTGGTTGGTATTAAAAAAATGAGACTGAAAAAGTATTTAATATTATCGTCGTCAATTGTCACGTGATGCCAATGTATTTTCTTCAAGTCAAATACAACAGAAATGTACTATGTCACTTGGGCTCAGCTCATCCTTGACCCGAACGAGTACATGCGCTTCACAAAATAAGTTACAACTTAAACAAGCCAATAAAGTGACACTAGTTTTTTTTTTGTTTTTTTTCCTGGCCCAAATGGAGTCCGAGGCGGTACCGTTCTGCTCATTCACATGTATCGCTAACGTCAGCGTCATACGTCAGATGTGCTCGGTTACAAAAGAAATACTTACTCTTTGTCTCGTTTGAAAGTTCGAGGAGTGCCTTTTGCAAACAGCGCCACTCCGTGACTGTGGCGTGATCGTGCAACTGCAGTTCAAAATGACACTCGATGCATGTGATCCATTTTATGATATCATTTCCCTGACTTGAATAAGCGAATGCTGGCTTCTGTGCATTCTAGTGTAACTAAATGAGGTTTATATTTGTGTGTGTTGCAGAAGATTTCTCTGACGGCGAGGATGTCTTACCCAAGCAAATCGCCAAGTGGAATTCCAACGACCTCATGGACAAAATCGAGGCTTCCGACATGGAAGAGACGTCCGGTACGACGAGGAAAACGACGATGCGGTGAGACAACCAGTAAGGACGGCCTGGCCGTGGCCGTGACCGCTTTGTTGGCCGTCTTTGCAGGCGAGCTCTTCAAGGACATAGAAGTGGACTACGCCAGGGCAGCCGGCGGGGAAAGACTAGACGAGGTACATGTCCATAAGCACACTTCTGGATGGAATGCCCAAATTTCCAGCGGACGATTCAGGGGGCCTTCTCTGTCCTCTAAAAAGCTGTTGGAGCGTTTATTCGATAACCTTGATTTTCATCTTAAGATACTGGTACGCTCTATTCTCCCTAGTGAGACAATTCAGTGCAATTGTATTTTATCCTTCGAGTACACATTACTGGGAAATTTCTGTGCTGCACTAGTAGCCTCCTGGGCCCTCACAGTCGCATCAAAATGCCCATTAGTAGTTTTCTGCACAATAGCAGGATAACGTTTGCATGCTCGTAGGACAACTCCATTGAAGCAAAGCTGCACTAGTTGTCATCTGAATGCTACTAGTACGACTAATAAAATTCTATACAACTTTGTAATGTCACTGGCCTTTTAAGATTTAATTGCATCTTAGGTAGGCCAAAGGTGACTCTTATGTCAGAGAAATAAAGATTAAAAGGACAGCCGTTCAACTCGTGCGCTGAATTGTCACTCGTGAGGAAAAAGAATGTACGTGTACACGGACCTTGAGATGAGTATCAAGGACATGGAGTACACACGCCCAAAGGGCTTTCCGCCCAGTCCAGCCCTGAGCTTCTTGTCCTTTTGTGTTCAGATGCGAGCCTCCGTTAGGGTCCCAGCCGATAGCGCTCCCATTCCCACCATCACAGTAACACGGCACCAGTCCGTAAGTAGCTCACACGCGGTCCCCTGTGAGCCCAGCCCTGGAGTTTCCCACTTGAAACCCCAAGTCCTGACTACCCCCCCGCCTCCTTCCGAAGCCAATTCGCGGTACCCCCCACGACCCCCATCTCGCCTTTACCGTTCTCCTTGTTCAGCTCCCGTATCCCATTTTTTTTTTGTTTACAACCTTGTCAGGGACATCGTTACTCGATAGACTTTATTGACCCTACACCAGAGAAGCTGCAGCCTGCTACAAATTCCATTGCACGCATAGTCTTCCAGAGATGACCAGAACATTTTGGTTTCTTTTGGGGGGGGGGGTGAAATGTGGGTGAATTTTCTGAAATTCATGGAGGTGTGTATGAATGTGCATGATTAAGCTCCCTAAATTGTGTAGGGGAAGCAAAAAAAGTGTCTCCTCATATAAAGCAAATTCATAGACAATTTGGAATACAAGAAATTTAAAAGACAAGACTAACAATAAGGCCAGCAGAAATCGAGACCATCCAGGATCTTGACAGGCTTCAATGCAGACTGTTTGGATTTCGGTGAGCTTTCAGAAAGATTCGAGACGAAAGCACAAGATCTTTTGCGGTTGTAGCTCACCACGGTGGTCTCCAATCCGCAGGAGAGCTCGTCCGAGCAGTGCCTGCAGCCCTCCAAGATCCACGTGCTCATCCTGGTCCTGCACGGCGGCAACATCCTGGACACGGGCGGCGGCGGCGGCGAGCAGAGCAGCAAGCAAGCCGACGTCAACACCATCGGCGCCGCGTTCGATTCCGTCATGCGCGTCCACTACCCGGCGGCGTTGGGCCGCCTCGCCGTCCGCCTCGTCCCGTGTCCTGCCATCTGCGCCGAGGCCTTCTCCCTGGTGTCCAAGTGAGTTAGCGTCACCGTGCGCCGTCTTGACCAAACGGAATTTGATTTTTTTGTCCATTTTTGTTGTCCTCGTCATTGTAATTCTGAGCAATCAACAGCGTATGAGATTGAAATAAGTCATCAGACTTTTTTTTTTAGTCAAAGCAAAGGTGTTAAAAAAAAATACAGATCACACAGGTTCTTGATTGAGTTCCCATCAGCACTGACTAAAGCGCTCGAGTGTACTGACGGTGCGTTGTTGGTCTTGCGCGGCAGCCTGAGCCCGTACGGCTACGACGAAGGCTGCCTCTCCAGCAGCCAAGATCACATCCCGCTGGCGGCTCTTCCCCTGCTGGCCACGTCTGCGCCTCAGTACCAGGAAGCCGTGGCCGCCGTCATCGTCAGAGCCAATCAGGTCTACGCCGATTTCATCAAGTCCCTGGACGGGGCCGCCTTCTCCGGCCAGGTCCGTTTGTTGTCCTCTGCTCTTATTGCACCGCAATGCCCCACATATTTGTGGTTCGTTATTCGCGAGTCAACCACTTGCATTTTTCATTCGCTGTTTGTAACGCGGTAAGATGCCACCAGGTGCTCCTCAAGCCTCGTCAAAAAACAAAAATTGCTGTCAAGGAAGAATGTCGGCTGAAGTTACAGATGGGGACTTCCAGTTCTGGTTTGATGTCATTCCCGATCTCTAAAGGTCTGCCTCATCGGGGACTGCGTGGGAGGAATACTCGGGTTCGACGCTCTGTGCAGCAGTAACCAGACAGTCAACGAAAGCCAGAACAGCAGCCGCAGGGGCAGTCTTGTCAGTGTACAGGTGATCAATACGATACCTCACAAACTTCTTGATATCCGCTCACTGAGCAGATTTCTTTTTTTTTTTTTATGTGACCCAATCCCCGGCAGGACCAGGACCTCCTGTCGCCGGGCACCATTATCAACTGCGGGCAGGGGTCGGCTTCGCCCACCCTGGAGGGCAGCCGCCACCTGAGCCGCAGCAACATCGACATCCCGCGAAGCATCTCTGGCGACGAGAGCAAGAAGCAGCAGCTGCAGCGCAAGAGAAGTGACTCGTCTACCTACGAGGCGGACACGATCAAGCAGCACCAGGCGTTCTTGTCCAGGTAACCCGCTCTGGTCTTTTTTTTTCTGTTTTCGCTTTCAGTTGGTTTATTCACACACGCAAAACAAAAAAATCTTGTTAAATGTTGATAATTAGGAACTGTTTAAACTACTGGTGTTAAACTCAAGGCCCGGGGGCCAGATCTGGCCCGCCCCGTCATTTATTGTGGCCCGCAGAAGCAAATCAAGCATGTCAACTTGCACGATGCTTGCTAATTTAAAATTATGTCATAAATATGAAACATATTGTAAGCATTTTCTTGTAACCAACCCCCTCATGACAGTTAACTTAAACAATACTTGAATAAACCGTTATTCTTGACTTTTTTTCATTTGGTTTCAGTCATAACGGCCCTCCAAGGGAAACGGTCACTCAAATGTGGCGCACGACAAAAATGAGTTTGACACCCCTGGTATAAACGATGCCACAATTGATGATCCCGAACCAGTTTAATATCATTTCCGACTCGCGACCGAAATAAATAAAAGTCATAAACGGCTCCCAAATGATGAAAGAAAATGACCTGGAATTCTCTTTGTCTACCTTCCACTTCCAACCCTGGCGAGACCGTGGCTCCTCCCCAACTTACAAAGCTTGTCTCTAACTTGAGATATATCACTTCATCAGACTTGCTTGACACCAGTTACTGACCAACCAACAAACAAACAGAGTCTACCCTCGCAGTGCCTCAAAATAAATGACGTCACGATAAATAGTCTTGGAATGCAATTTATCTGTCGGCCCCGCCTCGCGCTTGTCCTTGCAGCTTGCACTCCAGCATCCTGCGGGGCGACGGGACATCGCGCAGATCGAGCAGCAGCACCATGCTCGACGGAGGCGCCCTGGGCAAGCTGGACTTTGAAGTCTCCGACTTTTTCCTCTTCGGGTCGCCGCTGGGTCTGGTGCTGGCCCTCAGGAAGACGGTCATCCCCATGCTGGACGGTACGCCGTCGCGCTCTTCTCATCCAAGGGGGGGTTTGGTCGGGCTCTGTCGAATTGTTTTGAAAATTCAGCCCCCGAAACATGAAATCTGCTGTGCGTGTCTGTCATGAGCAGACACGCGAACAAATCTCCAGAACCCATCTCTGATTTAGTCGTCAAAAGTGTGTGTCATGTTCATGAGAAAAAAAAAATCCAAGTTCGTAAAGTGAATGACGAAAATCCAAAATGGAAAAAAAAAAAAAAAAAGCCGCTGCTTCCTCCCCCGTAGTGGCCCAGCTCCGGCCTGCCTGTCAGCAGGTCTACAACTTGTTCCATCCGGCCGATCCTTCCGCCTCGCGCCTGGAGCCCCTTCTGGAGAGGAAGTTCCACCTCTTGCCTCCCTTCAACGTGCCCCGCTACCAACGCTTCCCTCTGGGGGATGGAAATTCAACTCTGCTGGGTGAGTCCCGCTGCCGCGCGTCTTTCACGGCGCCGTGCGCCGGCGCCCGCCCCCACACAAATATAGCGCATTGTCACGTGTGGATGTCGTCCTGTCTTATTTTTTTTCCCCCATCACTGTCACACAACGATCAGCGTGTGTTAAAAGAAAAATGGAGCATTTTTCTTCTGTTTGTGCTTCTTGGGAAGTCAAATAGGGTCACAGTCCTGCAAGGGGGTTCATGTTTGGGCTGGAGTCAGAGCCGACTGTGTTGGTCATTGGTTATCAATTTCGAAATGAGAATTTATGATTCTTTTTTTTTTCCAATATATGTGAGGTCTCAGGTAGTGGTCAGCTTGATTGAATTTGACGGTTAGAAAAGCTCTTCCATAATCACCATTAGTTTTTCTCGTTCTTGTCCAAGAGCAATTCGGAGTGACGAACCCTCGCACTAACTTGTTGCTCAAACACCGAACTCTGATTCCATAACCTCCGGTTACCTTCAACCCCAACCCTGCCCTCAGAACTAAAACCCCAAACCATAAACCCTAACTCGAGCCTTAGAACTCAAACACTATCCCGAAGGCCCAAATCCAAGTCTCCCTACCTCGTAATTAAACCCTAATCCACTGACCACGGAACTCCAACCCCTTTCTCTCGGCTCCACCCGTCCTAGAAGTGCGTACACGTAACTTGTGTTCATACTAAAACATTGAGAAATGACCCCCGTTTTGTTCAAGTGGTGGACCGTCTTTCTCTTGGCTTCCTCTGGGTGTTCGGAACTGTCCGCTGTTCCGTTTCTGAGCGTTGGCCGTCATTTCAATCCAAGATAGTTCCAAAAAACGTGGGCTCCACTCAGGGCTTGGCTCTCTTTTCTCTTGTCTCTTGTTCTTGCTTCATATGTTTTTGTGTCTTCCTTGTCCTCTCTTCCTTCCTCTTCTCTCCACCCCTTCCTCCTTCCCTCCCCCCCCTCCCCCCTTAACTCGGCCTCTGTAGTGGAGACAGTCCAGAGCAACGCTCCGCTGCTACTTGACAGCGGGCCGCCCGCGTCCCTTCGCTGTCAGGAGACCATCAGTGAGACGTGCATCCCCGTGCCCGTGTTAAACTGGCAGGAGGGCGCCCTCAAGGCCACGCCCGCCGCGCCCGAGTGTGTGTAGCCGCTCCTGTCGCATCCCTCCTCACCTGCCCTCATCCTCGCTCGTCTTCCTCTGTCCGCGTTTCGCCGTCGGCGCTGCCGCCGCTGTTGTCGAGCGACATGTTTGACTCTTAAGTGAAAATAGATCAATAAATATGAACACGGCTTTTCGGTTTTAATTCTTAGTAAGTGTCAGTGTCCTCCCTCGCCTCCTGTGTGAGTAACTGCTCACCCCTCCCCTCTCAGCCGAGAAGCAGGAAAACAAATAGCCGCCGGCCGGCCTCTCGTCATTAACGAGGAAGTGATCTCTGCAAGTCGCCAATCATATCGCGCCCTGCTTAGAAGTTCCCTCAGGAAAGAAAAGAACATTAGCGGTGATCACAGTTTGAGCAGTTATTGACTTTTTAAAATCACCAAATCATCTGCTAATCAGCCCGTGCCGATTGCTAACAGTCTTTCAAATATCCAAACTCTCTCTTTAATGTTATACGTTTCCTCTCATTGCATTATGATAATGTCGCGACGGCGCCCGACTCTTTTTTCGACAATGAATTGCGCCATGTTGTCGATAGTTCCAAAAAAAGAGACCATAGTCTATGCAGCGCATCGGAGCCGTTCGAAACACCAGGTGTTGTCTTTTTTTCACTTGCGGCAAGCCTGAAGGTGTTGCAACGGTGAGTTAGTTGCCAACTGTCATTTTATTTCGTCGTCCCGATTAATAAAAAGCAGTTGCGCTGAAATTTCTGCACCCTTTAGATGCCGCGTTCACGTCTCTTTCTCGCCATTGCCATCACATTTTGGTGGTTGTGACGTGCGCACGTCTGCTTCATCACCGAATCCGTCTTGAACGTTGGGTTTGTAGTGCTACGTGTGGAACATCTCTCCTGCGATGTTTTGTGCCCCCCCCCCTTCCCACCCCCCAGCACACTGGCTTCTTGTAACGTGTGGTTGTGTGCATCATGTGTTTTGTGGACATGCTTTGGGTGAAGCTTCAGAGGCCACCGGGAGATGATGTTGGCCTTGACCAAAATCGCAGGTTGGCCTCTGAACCCGTCACGTGACTCCCCCCCCCCCTCCTCTTCCGCTCGGCGCCCCTTCCCCTCGTCTCTCTCGTCTAACGGGAATCTTCCCTTGTTTCGGCTCAATAGCGGATGTTGTTCAGTCTCATGGTGGTGTCTTCATGGACAGTTCGTACCCCTCATCCCCCATCACGGGCCCCTTCTCCAGGGGCCAGCGGCGCGCCAGTGAGGTCAGCATTGCCAGCCAGGTGTCAGGAATGGCAGACAGTTACACTGCCGGCAACATAGCCAACAGTAAGTGTTCGCCCAACGACATCCGCGGTCTCACCCCCACACACACACACACACGCACGCGCACATACGTACGCTCCCACACTCTTCCCTGACAAAAGCACGCACTGCTTAGGCAGGTAGACACGAAGAGCCCCGCCCGCACAGTCGTGGCCCGGTCAGAGCAGGCAGAGGTTGACTGGAGAGCGCCCCCCGTGTCTCTGTGTGTCTCGCTGTCTTGAGTGTGAAATGCAACTTGGCATTTTCTCCCAATGCTGCAATGCATCCTGGGGACCGAGCAAAGTCCTTGTTGTCTTTTACATCTGATTGTCCCCACCCACTTACACCCGCACACACACACCCGCGTATTGTAATAAGAATGGTCTCGAGGTTTTCTTCCAGATGGACACGTTGCGGCGCCGATGTTTTTCTTTTTGACATGCTTCTTTTCCTTCCAGCCCAAAGAGACGCGTTTAGTCGGTCCAAAAGATTCGGCCTTTTGTCGGAGCTGGCCCTGTCCTCCCAAAACAAATTCTTCTTGAAAAGCCCCCCCAAATCCCGCAAGAAACTCAAAGAACCCGCCGAGGAGAAGGACGGGGACGCAATGTTGTGCGACAGTCAAAGTCTAGGCTCCGACTGCTGCACGTCTCCCGGACTGCGCAGTGCTATATGCGATCTGGTCTCACTGGACTCCCAGGCGGAGGTGGACCAAGGTATTGCACCGAGACCCCGCGAGGCTCAAGGAAGCTTCTCCGATACCAGGAATTATTCTCCATCTTCTCCTCAATCAAATGACCTTCCTCTCGTCTCTGGTGGTTTTTCTTTGGGTTTTATTTTATTTTTATTTTTTTTTAACCTGCACAAAACTCTTCCTGTAGATCCACACCCGCTGCTGGGATTGGTGCTGATGGCTTGGCTTTGCTCTCTTGTCAAATGATGGATGTTGTTGACCGAGCTTGTGCGTGTCCGCGACTCACTGCGCGCCCGTCCGTCCCAGTTGCAGCTCGCTGGTGGGGCACCAAGCGCATGGACTTTGCCCTCTACTGCCCCGACGCTCTGACCGCCTTCCCCACGGTGGCGCTGCCGCATCTTTTCCACGCATCCTACTGGGAATCCACCGACGTGGTGTCCTTCCTGCTCAGACAGGTGAGACCGCGTCGGCTTCGCTAACGTGTCGTTTTCTGCCACGGAGTTCGAGCCGTGATTTGTTTACGCTTGAGTTTTTGCGCTGATTTCGATACAACAGTAACATAATATCGGAATATATTTGGTCATATTCATAAATTAAGGGTTAGCTTGAGCGACAGAGGGGATTTTTTTTTTTTCAGAAACGTCACAGATATAAATTACAATGCCTGGTAAAATCCATATGCTTTGATAGATACTTCAAACTTAAAAAGCAAAAAAATGAAAATATCTCAAAAACACAATTTGCTAGAAACTCGAAGAATACATTTGGGGACACACAAAGCCACCACTGATTCAAATTTGAACTGAATTCACCATCTGACAGACCGATTTTTTACATTTCACCGGAACATTGAGGGCATCGTTAAACCAATTATTTGTTTACTTTTGAGCAGAACATTGCCGGTCGGACCGGATCGCTCTCATATTCACCCTTCGACATTTCCCAAAATGTTTTTACAATTTGACCAGAATCTTGGTAGCTCCCCCCGTCTCGAATCAGTCTCAAACGGACCCTGTCGCTTACCGCCGGTCGTCGCTGCTCAGTGCCACCCGACACAACACGACGCAACCCGAAGGCGGTGATCCAAATGTGTGCCGCAGGTTATGAGGCACGACAACTCCAGCATCCTCGAACTCGACGGCAAAGAAGTGTCCGAGTTCACGCCGTCCAAACCTCGCGAGAAGTGGCTGCGCAAGAGGACTCACGTGAAGATCAGGGTACGGTGGGCTGCTCTCGTCTCGCTGTGCAGAAACATTTCAAAAACCGCAAGAAATGCCCACGTGACTTGAGAATGCTGCACGAAAACACAGGCGGCACGGTGGTGCAAATGGTTAGCGCGTCCGCCTCACAGTAACGAGGTCGAGGGTTCGATTCTGGGCCCCGGCCTCCCTGTGTAGAGTTTGTATGTGGATTTTCTCCGGGTACTCTGGTTTCCTCCCACATTCCAAAAACATGTACGCTAGGTGAATTGAACGCCATATAATTGTCCAGAGGTGTGATTGCGAGTGTGAATGGTTGTTTGTCTTTGTGTGCCCTGCGATTGGCTGGCAACCAGTTCAGGGTGTCCCACACTGGCACACCTGCGACCTTCGTGAGGATAAAACGGTTCAGCTAATGGATGGATATCAGACAAGGCAACTCAATGTGCTTCACACAACTAAGCATTTCCAAATAGAGCGCAGCAAGCGAAAGAAAAGTCGCCCATTCAATTGGTTAATCGACATACTTTGGCAGAACGTGACGGCGAACCACCGGGTCAACGATGCCGTGTTCACCGAGGACAGCCAGCAGACGGTGACTGGTCGCTTCATGTACGGCCCCCTGGACATGGTCACTCTGGCTGGCGAGAAGGTCAGCCCACTCGTCTCGTCCGTAACGCGCACGTGCGTGTTTTGTTCGTTTGCCGAATGTGTGTGTGGTGCCCGCAGGTGGACCTGCACATCATTACGCAGCCCCCGTCGGGAGAATGGGTTTACTTCAACACAGAGGTGACCAACAGCAGCGGCCGCGTCTCCTTTCTCATCCCCGATGACAAACGTCTGGGTGTCGGTGTCTACCCGGTCAAAATGGTGGTCAGGTATGTTGCTGTAAATAAGCACGACTTTTTGAAAAATAGATACAGTATATAGTACGAGAAGAAAGTTGGATGTTTTGGGGAAAAGATGAATATAAGTCAACAAATTATTTTTCTTTGTCCAATATAATGTTCCATGTTGCGCCACGAGTCTAATCGTGGCATTCTGATTAGTATCACGTTTGTGGAAAATGAATGTCGTCGTAAAATTGGCCCGTTTTTGTCCATCACTGTGGCGGCCATTTTCTGACCGAAACTGACATCACAGTGGGTTGGGGAATCGGGTCATGGCCACTCATGGCTCAGCTTCTGAAAAACGGTGAGCTGTGATTGGTCGTTACCTGAGCCCTGAGCAACTGTGATGTCATTCTCAGACGACACAAAGTGGAAAAATGCCCGCCCCCTCAGAGGAATAAAAAGTGTTCGATTTTGCTGCTGGACTCACATTCTACAAACGCAATATTAACCACAATGCCGAGTTCAGACTAATGGAGGCACGTGGAACACACCAAGAACATTTGAGGGATGACGACCCCTTCAAAGAAAACTTTTATCCTGCAAGAAAGTTTCCCATTTTTGCAAAACTTCATACCAATAAATAAATATTGTTCCAACAACAACAAAAAAAAAAGAGGGTTTAATTTTTGTGGAAAAAGGTGGATGTTTTGGAAAGGGTGAAGCTCTACGAATACTTTCTAGAGACAAAGCAGGCATCAGGATTGGACGCTCGATCTTGCGGCTCATCTAAGTTGCTGTTTTTAGGGGCGACCACACGTTTGCAGACAGCTACCTGACGGTGATCCCTCGCGGCACCGAGTTTGTGGTGTTCAGCATCGACGGCTCCTTCGCCGCCAGCGTGTCCATCATGGGCAGTGACCCCAAAGTGCGGGCGGGGGCCGTGGACGTCGTCAGGTAAATGATTTCTGTTGCACTTTTTTTTTTTTTTTTTTACGGCAACCCATGAATGAGAAGGTGTCGTTTTGCGCGCGTCGGCAGGCACTGGCAGGATTTGGGCTACCTGATCATCTACGTGACGGGACGACCGGACATGCAGAAGCAAAGAGTGGTCGCCTGGTTGTCGCAGCACAACTTCCCGCACGGCATCGTGTCCTTTTGCGACGGCCTAGTGCACGACCCGCTCCGACACAAGGCCAACTTCCTCAAGGCCTTGACCGAGGTCAGAATGGCTCTTTGATGTTGAGTTATGACGTACACTTGGGGGGGCAAAGCCAACTTCCGGAAGTTCTTGACTGAAGAATGTGTGAGGGATTCTCGATAATGTTTTTTTTTCCGTAAACCACAAAGACAAAGGTGTCGTGAGCATGTAAGCCGTCATCGATGTCGAGACCCAACCGGATATTCATGTTCTGCGCCCGTCGTCTTCTTCTGCTGTCAGGCTAACATGAGGATATTTGCCGGCTACGGGTCCAGCAAAGACATCTCCGTGTACACCTCCATCAACCTGCATCCATCGCAGATCTTCATTGTTGGTCGACCCTCCAAGAAGATGCAGCACCAGTGTCAGGTACGTACGCAATGCGGTTTCAATAACCCGATTGGACCGCTGTTCATTTCCATTGTGCAATAAGTCAACCGTTTATTGTGAGTAAAGTTGAGGATATGGTTGTTGAGTTCCCAACCCCGCCCATCGGGATTCCGAAAGGCTGTATTTCACACTACAGTTTAAAGTGGCACCTGCGTAAGAAACGGGGTGGCCGATCAAAAAGGCCAAGCTAAAATAAAGGGGGAGGGGGGGGGCAAAATTTGATTGACTGATAACTTTAGGAATGTCACCGGCAACATTAGCTGGTGTTCAAAAAAAGTTCTTTTACAACCCTGCCAACAAAGCTTTAATATGGTCATTCTTAAACATCAACAAGACGCCACAGAACAAATACAAAGTGCATGAATCATACAAGCGACACAAAAACAGGTCTTTTGGGGGGCGTGAACTTGCGTGTATTCACGGTACTTAAAGTCCTATCTTGACACTGGGGTCCGGTCACTTTTCAAAATAAAATATTTTCAGCTTCAGATAATAAACTGAAAGTACTGTTAAGTTTTTTGATGCTTTCATTTGCGCTGCCCGCGGTGGCCGCATGCCGGCGCGGTGTTTGGGACCACCGGTTTAGGAGACTACACTGTTAGGTTAACAATCCTCTTCCGCATGTGCATGACAGAATTGTCTTGCGTGTACTTCTACTGTGCGAGGAATACCGACGTCCCACGACTTGCGTGACAAGATATTTTTCGTGCCGACAGTTCATCACGGAGGGCTACGCGTCACACCTGTCCCAGCTGGAGCACAACCACCGCTCGCGCCCGGCCAAGTCCGGCAGCACTCGCATGGTCCTGCGCAAAGGCAGCTTCGGCCTGGGCGCCAACAGCGACTTCCTGCGCAAACGCAACCACCTGCTGCGCACCATCTCCTCGCAGCCCGCGCCCAGCTCACCCACGGCAGGCGGCGTGGGCGCCATCCACTGCCGCCCCGAGCGCACGCAGAGCCAGTCGGACGGTGAGCGCGGAACCGCCCACGGCCACGGCCAGGGGGCCGCGCAGCGCAGCATGAGCATCACGGCGGGATGCTGGGGGCGCAGCAGCAGCACCAAAATGGACGCCGGGCTCCTCAGCCCCAAATGAGGACGCGGCTATACAGATAAAGGACGCCTGAAGAAAAAAAACAAAAAAAGGCCAGTAATTGACGCCACCCTACCCCCCAAAAAATTGCCTTTACATTGAACGCTCGTTTCTCACAGGGATACATTACAAACTTTTTTTTATTTGATTTTAGTCCTTCCGCACACTTAAGAACCATTTCAACTCATTAAAACTTTCCAACTTAAAGCCACGCTTTTGAAAGTATTCCTTAGTGCCTATTTTCTTGCCCCCCCACAAAAAAACGAGAGTCAACGTATCACTTTAAGTAAACCAAAAGAAGACTCACTTGTTTGCACGGTTATCCAAATAAGCTCAAGTGTGCTTGTTTCGGGCTGTTTGTCACTCCCAGCTGAGGTTCACTCTAAAACACATGAAACAAGAGGATTTGTACTGGAGAAGTAACCACTGAAATGTCCCTCCAAACCAAACCAAGCCCATTAGCTCAATGCTAACATATAATGCAAAATCCCAGAGAAAAGCTAACTGAGACACATAGATCTGAGAGAGACAGATTGATTGATCTATATAGAGACAGAGATATATACACGCACGCACACATACACCGTAATCATAAACCTTAAAGCAATTGCAATGTGAACACATGCGGAGCAGCAACACATACAAATGGAGGTCCAACAATACAAGCATGTATTCACTCTGCTCTGTGGGAACAATGGCTTCAGGATTGGGGACCTTCTCTGCCTTCTTGCTTTTAAATTGGCCGCACGTCTTCCATCGGAGCTCAGTGCCGCCTGGCATGTTGTCGCACGATGTGGTGCTACACTGAAGACACGCATCTCTAAATTTGGACTTGCCTGTCCACTGTAAAACCCCATCAAACATGTTCTAGAATCGTGATTTCTTGCGGGTTCACCGTATAGCGTGAGAGCAAATTCTCCTCATCGCAGATATTTTTGAGATGGAGCCTACCCTCTAATTCATTATTCTCTATTTGGCTTCCTCACCGTTTTTGTTCTCCTAAAACGCCACACGGTGGCGCCAAATCTCCGCCAAAGGAAGAGCTTGCGTTTGTGGCAAGGACCCCCGCCCCCCTCCCAAAAAAAAGAGACAGAGGCAAAATAAATACAGCTGCAAGAAAAAGTATGTGAACCCTTTGGAACGCATAAATTAAGTCACAAAATGTGTTGTGATCTTCATCGAAGTCACAATCGACAAACGCAATCTGCTTGAAGTCAGACCACACAAACAAGGATATGTTCTCGAACACGTTGTAAACAGCCACCGTGCGTGGTAAGAAAAAGTCAGTGAAGCCCTTGGATTGAATAACTGGTTGGCGCTTCTTTGGCAGGAGTTAACCTCAAGAAAACATTTGCTGTCGTCACGGATCAGACCTGCACAACGGTCAGGAGACATTTTGGACCATCCCTCTTTCCAAATCCAATTTATGCAGAAATCTCGGTCATTCCAAAGAGTTCATAATTTTTCTTGCAACTCGAACTGTACAATAAAGACATTGACATTCATCATATGAATTGTACATTGACGGTAACAACTAGTTGTGAAATATTTTTAGCTGTCATTACTTGAACATGAGCCGTCTGTACTTTTTATTTGTGGCTAAATGTGGATGTATGCTTGCCATGGCGCCATCTTGTAGCAGCTAAAGGCAATTCTGGTTGTTTTTTTTTTGGGGGGGGGGCGTCATTTACTTGTAGGGTTTTTCTTTGGGGGGGTTCTGTATTGAAATGGTAAATTTACGCATTAAGAGCATTTCCCACCATATTTTTAACCCCCCAGAATAAAGGGTGTGAGGATGTGATTTGTGTACACACGGCAAAGCAGGCTGAACTCGGCTCCTCCCGACCAGACAAAGCTCGTCTCTGAGCGAAGATGTTTCACCTCTTCCTCGGCGCCATTTTTGTGACGTCATCTAGGAAGAGCACAAAAATATCACACGTGACTTTTTCGGCAAATGATGGAGCATTGGCAAGCATGCGGCGAACTGATGTACTCTTTTCAGGTTCTGCACTTCAATCATGGATTCCCCCCCCCCCCCCCACCGGGTCCAAAGTGCTGTAAAGTTTTGCTCCAAGCTTGCAAGCACAACACAGACTTCATGTAGGATGGATTCAGAGAAGAAAACTGGATTTCATGTCCATTTCCACCCAAGCGGCCCCCACAAAAATCCCCGTCACGTCTTGGAAGTCAAGGACCCTTTAACTGCGCAGCAACCTGCTCACGTTTTTTTTTTTTCCCCACTGTCACACTTGGAAGGAGTATTTGGGCTTCACTGACACACAAAAATCACACCATATGAGATTTTTGTTGTAATGTTATTAGAATCTATTTCCAGGGGGAAAAAAGTAGCTTTTCAAACAAAAAGTTTGGGAAGGAAAGGCTGCTTTTCAATGCAAAAGATTTTTTTTTAAATTTTGGAATCATAAGACTTGTTGATTTTGAAGACCATTTTAAAACTTTTTGTTTCAAAAACATCACATTTTGATCTAATTTTTTTTCTAAAAAAAAAAAGGAATCAAGAAGTTTTTTTTTAATCAAGAATACAAAACATTAATCTTGCAAGATTATGACTTTTGGTCAAAAATATTGGCTTTTCCGGACACAGTGTACAACTAATGTTATAAAACTGCGACTTTATTCTCGTAAAATGAGAGTTTTCCTTCAAGGTAGAACTTTTTTTCCCAGAAAATATGCAAGTTTAATTTCATAACATGACTTTATCTTGAAAAAGTCTGACTTTTCTCTCAAAAACAGTCCCGAAAAATTCTTGCGAGTATTGGATTTTTTTTTCCGAGGAAAATTTACAGCTTGATGTTGTTTCTCCAACACGGGCTTTACTTCTCGAAAATCTTGAAATTTGAATTTTCTTGAAAGTACAGCAGACCTCACTTTTAACCCGGTAAAATTGCGACCTTCAAAATATCCTTTCTTTTCCTCTCTCCAAAACCACCACTTTGAAAACGTTGTCCTATTTTTGTGGCAAATATGGGACTTTTCTTGAACATCTGCTGGGGAAGCGTTTCACGAGTCGACAAACTCGTGAATGTGCCAAAGTTGTCAAAAGTCGAGCGGGAACCACGTAGTGTGTACGGGCGCCTCCAGCCACAAATGTTTGTACATGATTCTTGTGATATCGATGATAAATACGCCGACTCTTGGTATGCACGAGTGCTTTCTGCTCCACTCGGACGTGTCTTTATTCTTCACTTTTGGAATTTTATGTTGGTTTCAGTGGAGCAAAATCATATTTCTTTTTTTTTTCCATTCTTGGCTTGTTTTATAGTGTGGCCTGGCACAATATTTTCATTTGTTTTTAGTTTGTCATCCTTATGATGATATGACGACCATTGTTTTCTTGCCAATCACACTTGTGTTCTATTTATTCTTATTTTATTTGTAATTTTTGCGGAAAGCTATTTGGGAACTCTGGGAAATGGCTTTGTCCCGCACACCGTACGTGAGGTGATGAATGTGTTTGTAAAGGAGTGTACAAAATGTCATGTCCACATTAAAAAAAAAAAAAAAAAAGCTGACGTTGATAAGAAGAACAGTAATGACGAGGGACGTCCAGGAGTGACGGCAATGGACCAACATGCCCAGGGAAAATGTGCAATATTTATTCCACAAACACACACCAGAGCAAGTGAAAGTGAGGAACGGCCCAAAGGGGCTTTGGCCGAGTTCGCGGTGCATATGGACAAAAGTATTTGGACGCCAGGCCAATTTGTATGTATTGGTAGTTACGCACACTTCGAAATACACACACACACACAAAAAAAATAATGATGGGATGCAAAGCAAGCCAACTTTTTCTAAAAAGATGGAGGACATTTTTTTCATGTCTGACTACGTCTGAAAATGTTTTACCTTTTTCCTCAAAAAAGGGAAAACTTTCTTCTCAAAAGAGACATTTTTCCCGAAAATGATGCTTTCCTGTAAGAAAATGTACTACTTTTTTTCTTGTTAATAGGACCTTTTTTCCCCTCAAAAAGAGGTCATTTCTTGCCAAATCAGCCCCCAAAAATTGCAAAATGTAACCAAGCAGATTTTGATTTGAATGAAACTTGCTGTACTGTATCACGATGACACAACACGATGTCAAAAATACTTGGACATGGAATGTTGGATTATTTTGTGAAGGGTTGGATAAAAATCTCTTATTTTCTGAAAAATACACTTACAAATATTCTGGGCTTTTTTTTCTTGAAATGTCACACTTTTTTTCTCTAAAATACGCTTTTTGCTAGAATGTACAACGGTCAAACTATTCACGAAAATATACATTTTGCAAAATTACTTTTTTCTTGACTAATTTTTTTTCCCAAAAACCGACTTTTTGAAAATGTATGATTTATCTTTAAAATAGTGCATTTTTTTTCTCAAAAATGCCATCAACTCTTTGTCATATAACGTTTTATGTATATATATGAATTTTCTAAAACCGCGGCTTTCACAAAAACAATTTATTTAGATTTGGACTTCGTTTTTTTTTCTTGTAAATGTATCCCTTTTTTCTCATTTTAATTTTTCTCAAAAATGTACGACTTCATGAAAACAAATGACTTCTTTTGAAAATATTTGACTTGTTGGAAATGACACTCTCAAAAACATTTGACCTCTAAAAAATATACAATTTCATTCTCGACACTGCTATTAAATATTTTCTAAAATATTTCAAATATCTGGAGGACTTCACAATCAAAATGACCGCTAATAGGGAACAAAAAAAACTTGCCCAGCCAGCCATTTTATGTGGTGGGACATTCAATAACACATACAACCTCTGACTCATGAGAGGCAAGAAATACTGTACAGGGGAACTTCATTTTTCGTATGATTAATTTTTTTGACAATTTAACTTCATCTAAATCTTATCCCTGTTTTTGTATATCCGCTTGGTTTTCCTTGGAGGGGGAGTGGGGTGGACAGTCCATTTTAGCAAAATAAATTTGCTGAAATTCATTCGCTTTTATCCAAACCACCCCGTAAATTGTGTAGAAAGGGTTGAACAGATGGTAGGGCATATTACACAACGCGAGCAATGCGTACCCAGTTGCATTCATAAACTTGACAAACAAGCAGATATTTCTTTTCACCTGTGTGTTCATCATCAGCATCATCATCATCAGGTCCCGTCACCGTCCACACAAGGAGCCCTGATCCATGCGGGCTCTGTGTCGATGGAGGCTGCGTTCATCTTTAGTTCTACAGAAAAGAATCCAAAGAAGTCCTGTTGGTAACTGAACATATTGTCTTTGGAATGACTGCAAAGTGGCAGTTTGTAAATAAAAGGCGCGAGTATTGAAACGAAGCCGTTCGAGATACAGCACTGTTTTCAGCCATTGTAGCCGACACTAGCAAACTAACATCAAAATGCAACAAAAAAAATCTTCAAAAATGCTTGCTTTAAAGGCACGCTATGTCCTCGTGTTAGCGATACAAGCACACAATAAAACGGTACATATTTTTGTTTTGGCACAACTTACGTCAAATTCAGGATGTGGTGTCCCTCTGACCGGAAACCGCAGAAACGAATATTTGCCATAGGTTCCCAGGTGTGTGTTGGTAATCTATTAGCCAGCAGAGGGGGCTATTCCTGGCTGCATTCGGAGCGGAAGGGCTTTCAATTGAATTCGCGCCCATTGGCGTGAAAAATCAAGAAAACAGGGACGTGTGTGTTGATGGGTAAACGGCTTAAATTATATTCCTTTTTTTGCAGTGTATAAACAACAGAAATACATTGTGTCATATTTTGTCCTCTATTCACACTCACCTAAATTTATATTACAAGACAAGAAACATTTGAATATATTTTGGATGTGAAAAGAACAGTTTTAGTATTTACCTCATTAGCAAAAACAAACTAAATATAATTTGAACTAATTATTAGTAAGGAAGGATAATTAGTTTAAAAAAAAAGTGATATGCATAATCAAGAGAATGAAGAAGTGTCCTGCTGCAGATGACTGCCATGTATCCCCAATAGACAGAAAAAATACTCAACTTTTTCCAAAAATAATATTAATCTTTTTTTTTTTTTTTAATAAAAAATGTATTACTTCTGGTGAAGATATACAACTTTTGTTTACTTGTTAAGTTGCATTTTTTTCTCTTGGAGTCCAAGCCCCACAAAAAAAAACCTACTTAAAAAAAAACGCTTTCATGAAAACATAATTCTTCAACAAAAAAATTTACTTTTTCCTGCAAACATTGAGACTTATTGCTTAAAAGTGTTTGACTTTGACTGAAAAAACTTAATTTTTTTCTCCAGGGTACACCTTTTCATGAAAACATTTTTTTCCCTTGAAAATATTCAACTTTATTAAAAACATTTTATCTTGAAAATGTTTGCCTTTTTTCCGCAAAAACGTTCAACTTCTCAAAAATATTCATCAGAAAAAAAATAATTCAGGTTTTTCTTGAAAATGTCCGACTTTTGAGCTAACTTTAAACTTATCTAAGTGACTTTTTTTTAATGTATGACTTTCTCAAACATATGACTTCAAACTAAAACTTTTTTTGTCACACTGCATGTTTTTTTATTCTTAATTTTGTTTTTTCAATCTGAAAAAAAAGTATGACTTTTATCTAAAATATATAGACATCTTCCGTGAGCTTTTTATCTCCAAGTGTGCCCAAGCGTAGCCTCGAGTGCCTATCTGTTGAGCCCCAGCATTCTCTGGAAGGAGCTGCCATCTCCCTTGGTGGCTTGCTACGTGGACAAAAAAAAACAACACCCACCCCGCCCAAAAAAATCACAATCACAAACAAAAAGAGATGTACTTTCTAACTGTGGTATTTTTGAACCATGTTTTGTATATTCTTGTGTATTACCTTGTTGATGTCTTTGTGTTTCTCCCTGCTGACGATCTCCTCGATGATCTCACCCTCACCTCGCACTAATCTGAAGGAGTGCACATCACCTTCTTGTAGTTTAGCTTCAGAGGCTAACAAGAACAACACAACAGCTAACGCCTCACCTGGTGCGCCCCGTTTCAGGATCGACCACTCTACGGATGACGCTCTGCCGGGCGTCGTATTCCTCCTTGGTCAGAGGCCTTCTGGTGGCCAGCCGGGACTTCTGCTCATCCGTCATCACTGCGCACATCACAAACCAACACACAAGAGACTTACCATTATGCTCCCAGAATTCTACCTAGCAACAAAACGATTTCTTCCTGAACCCAATGATCCCAACCAATAATTCCGTTCCAATAAAAAAAAAAAAAAAAAAAAAAAAATTTCGTCCTTGAATTTTGCCCCAAGACTAATAACTGCGCTCCCTTGAACAAATGATTATGCTCCCAGAAATTCTTCCTAACAACCAACAATTGCCATCCTTTGAGCAAATGCCTGCGCTCCTTGACTCCTGCCCAGCAACAAATGAGTGCTCTCCCGGTTCAAATGATTTAGTTGTGTTGTTGCGGGTCACCTGGGCCGAGCTCGACACCGCCTTCGTCGCTCTGCCAAAGCTCCAGCGAGGAGGAAGGTTTGGGTGGAGGGATGCTAAGCGGCTCAGCGAGCTGCATCAGCCTCTTCTGTATATCGTCCACCTTCGTCGTCTTCTTCTCCTCCTCCACTTTCCTCTTCTTCAGTTTCTTTTTCTTCTCCTTCTTGCGCCGCTTTTTCAGCTTGGCCTGCTTCTTCTTTGACTTCTTCTTGGCTTTCTTCTTCTTCTTTTTTTTCTTCGTTTCATCACCGGACGACGGAGAAGACGACGACGACGAGGAGGAGGACGAGGAAGAGGAAGAAGATGAAGAGGAGCTTCGTCTTCGCTTTTTCTTTTGTGTTTTTACACCTGACGGCATGAAAAGAGTTAATTCCCCCCAAATAAAAAGTGTTTTGTTATCATTGTGCCGCGTTTGTGTGGTGCTAACCTTGACTTTTGTGTGACTTTTTCTTTGATTTGCTCCGACTTCTGCTGCTGGAAGACGACGATGAGGAAGAGGAGGACGGAGACCTTCGTCGTTTTTCTTTCTCATTTTTCTCCAGTTTTCCGCTTCTTTTCGGGGATCTGCCTCGGTCCATTTCCGTTTATGTAGTGTCTTGATATGTCAACCGAAATAATGACGACCCATTATAGGAGTTGATTGTCCACTGCAGGGATGTTAATGGCTGGTCCGCCAACTATTTGTTTCCGACAGGCAATTCCTTCAGCTGCTTTTAGTTCCCACCTCAATATGAAAGATACGTATAAAATTTCTCAATTACTGCCGAAAGACCTCGTCTCTCTCTCACACACACATACACACACTGCATTCTACCCATTTTCACGTCCTGGGCTCACTCCTTTTCTCCCAACACTTTCATGGATCCTCCTGCAAAGCAACTATACCTCAACACACCCTGCTTTCCTTTTTATCAAAATATTTCAACACCAAACTGTCCCAATTTCAGCTGTAATTTACCCAGAAAGCAATTAGCAAGGACAAAGAAATGTTGTAGTAACTGGTCTTTAAACGTGAAGGTCGGGGAACTTCATATTTTTACATCAATTACTTTTTGTAGTGGTTTGCAAAAACAGTTGAGGCAATTTGTTTATTAAAAGAAGACTAACTGAAAGAAGGAAACAACAGAGACTGAGAAGAATCGTCACAAATCTTTATTTAAGCTTTCACAAAGGCATTAGTGAATTTTTAAAGCTTTTGAATACTGGTCAACGCGCTCCTGATGGAGTCAGCCCTTTTTTTTTTTTTTTTAATCAACACTGCACCACTTTGCTCTTGAGGTGAATGCCGCCACCATGCGCTCCTTAAATACCGCATACGCCGCTGAAGCAATAAATATAAACAATCTCTGGTGATCCTGTTGAAAACAGTAGGCCCAGTCAAAATTGAATTCTGTCACATGAGTAGATGTAACAGACAAACGTGGCTGAACACATGGAAGGGGTTTAAAAAAAATTCCGCCTTAAACACTTCCAGGCCAAGATAATAATAGAAAAAAGAAAAAAAACATTGAAGGGGGGGTTGGAATGTTTTGTTTTGGGGATTCATTGCCTCCCGAATTAGGACGCGGCCGCCATGCGGATCCTCTCGGGAGGATAGAGCAGGACGTTCTTGGCCGCTTTGATAGTGTTCTTCATGAGCATAGCCACCGTCATGGGCCCCACGCCGCCTGGCACTGGCGTGATGAAGCCCGCCTTCTGTCGCACACCTGACAAACACACAGAAAAAAAATACAATTTTAAAAACAACTATGGACAATTACACAAAAAAGCCACTTTCAGCTTTGATATGCATCCATTATTTGGTAGTGATGGGGTGATAAAAGTGCCTCTCAAGGTTGCCTTGTTGAGCAAAAATATTGACAAGTCTTCTCCTAATTACACTTTCATCCAACTCCTTTTTGTGTGTAGGTGCAATTCTTTTTTTTGGGGGGGGGTAGAAAATATGTTGTTTGGGTTTCATTAAAAAAAAAAAAAAAATTACCTTCAAAATCCACATCTCCAACTAGCCTGCTTTTCCCGGTGATCGGGTCCTGCACCCGATTGATGCCCACGTCAATGACGGCCGCCCCTTCTTTAATCATGTCGGCGGTTATGAGATTGGGAATTCCTGAGGCAAAATGAGAAAAAAAAAAAAAAAAAAAAAAGACACTTAGAATATTCATGCCATTAACGCAATGTGGATTACACAACAAGGAGGAAGTTTTGTCACACCTGCAGCAGCGATGACGATGTCCGCGATTTGAGTGTGATGTCGGAGTTGATCCTTGGGAGTGTAACGGTGGGAGATGGTCACGGTGGCGTCGCCTGTTGGCACATGTTAGCATTTACTCAAAAGATCAATATAAGAGGACGGCACTCTTGTGGACCAGCCGACTTGGGAGATTCACTGTATTACGACAAAAGGCAAAACATCTCAAGAAAGAGGCGGCGAGGTGCTCACCTCCCGGTCTCTCGTGCCGTCCGTCCGTGTGCAGCAGCATGGCGATGGGCATGCCCACATTCTTGGAGCGGCCCGCCACCACTACATTCTTGCCCACAGTGGGAATGCCTGCATACACAACACACACACACATGCTTTTCTTTAGAGGAGACCCATCACAATGTGACATCGACTTTTTCTTTATGAAAGATCAGCTAAGGATGCAAACATGTTTGATGGTGTGCTTGATTCCAAAGGCAAAGTTGAATACAAGGAAGTAGCGCTTCTCCTTAGAACACCACCTTGCCCCAGGCCTCCTAACCGCACCCTCTTGACTCCTCCCCCTCATTCTGACTCCTCTGAAGTAAACTCCCCATTCCTCTTGCCCCAATGACATCTCCTTTCCTCTTTTAACCACACCTCCATTCTATCTCATCCTTCACTCAAACTACACATCCTCACTGTCCCCTCCAAAGTGCAGGAAAAAAGTGTCAGCCCTAGCTGGAGGTCGGCACTGCGCTTACCTGTGCGTTTGATGATCTCCATGACCCCCCAGGGAGTGGCGGGCAACATGGTGGACTGATCCAGGCACATGCGGCCCACGTTGACCACGTGGAAGCCGTCCACGTCCTTGGTGGGGGCGACGGCGTTGCAGATGGCGCGCTCATCAATGTGGTCTGCACGCCCACAAACATCAAGCATTAACCTCTCTTCTTTCATCTTTTTTTTTTTTAACCCAGTTTAATGCAAATATGCAAATATGCACTGAAAGCACAAGTTTTGGCGTTTGGTGCACTTGATATTGCAACTGTGCTTATCGTATACCCACCCGGCAGAGGCAGTTGTACCAGCAGGCCGTCCACACGATGGTCCGTGTTGAGCTTAAAGATGAGGTCCAACAGCTCTTCCTCGCTGATGTCGGAGCGCTTAAGGATGGTCTCGCTGGAGATTCCTGAGGGAGACGGTCCAAAAAGTACAGTCAGTATACACTGAATTTATTGTGATTCTTATTATTACGTTGAGATACGTTCCAGGCCCGCCCGCAATCGGTGCAAATCTTGAGTACACAGCCCGCGCGTGCGCCATGTCCTTACCGACGTCGGCGGCCGATCGGGTCTTGTTGAGGACGTACGAGTGGCTGGCCGGGTTGTCGCCGACCAGAATCACGCTGAGGTGAGGCCGCCGGTGTCCGGCCAACATCCATTTTTCCACGTCGGACCGCGCCTCGTCCCGGATCTGGCGAGCCAGCTTCTTTCCTGAGATGACCACTGCCTCCTGCCTGAGGAGCACACATCCAGACAACAAGATTGATTGGAATCCCACCATTCACCAAAAACCATTTCATCTGTTGTGTCCATGTGAAGTTCACATGACAACATACAGTACGATTCTAAAACTGGATTTGCATTTTTTTTTAATATACGATAGTAGCCTTTTGGGTAAGTCATCTTTCCTCGAGACGTCGCCAACTACTGGGCTGGCATGCACATTACAGACTTTTTAGTCACGTTCAGTCATGCTTGAGGTTGAATGACAACAAGTAAAGGCATGACAACTTAGCATTTCAACAGGGGTGTGTTGACTTTTTATATCCACTGTACATAGGAGCTGCCAAAACAACACTATTTTCAGCTATCCAGCGTTGCGTTTCATTGCCGACTGGTACAGTGAATACTCTGGCACACACTACCACCTGTAGCCTCTAAAATTAGGCGCTAGTAGAGCTGACTGGGCCATATGTTCTCACATTCACACAGGAACACACGCGCACACACACACACAGTCACACGCAGGCACACTGGAGCCGAGCAGTAACTCCAGACTGATCACCATGCCAGCGAAGCAAAGTGGAGACTGTTGCAAAGAAGGGAGGGGAAGGAAAAAAATGTTCTTCACAAAAAGTCTTTGGGGAGCAGCTGTAGTATGGTGTAATTTACTGTGTGACCTTACCGCAAGCCAAACGATTACCGGAGCCAAGTTTTGCGCTTACATAACCGAAGCCACACACCAGAGGGAGGAGAACGGCAAGGAATTGAGAAGTAATGAGGCATCCAGTGGTGATGTAACGGCGCTATTGTGATGCCAGAGCCAATTACAGCAATTTGTGGAGGAAAAGTAGCACACCTACATTTGAAAATGGAACTTTTTAATCTGCTTGTGGTTTTACTTCACAATATATTTGAAGATTAAAAAAAAACGCCTGCATTTTAATGAAAATGTATGCAGTAAATTATAAAAAAGGACAACTGGAAATGCTGTTTTTAAATTAATACCAAGAAAAAAATTAAAAAACACACATTGCTTCCCTTCTTAATAATTAAAAAAACCCAAATCTAACATAAAAGTGAACCTCTATATCTTTGTGCAATATTTTGAACAAAAAAAAAATCCCAAATTATCAAAAACAGTTTTAAATAAATACGATGAACTGATACATCAAATAAAATCAAATGCATCAAAATAAACAAAAGTGCAACGAAAACTTGACGACTGCTGGCTTCTTTTCGAAACATTACATTTAACACGGCAGAAATGTGTAATTTTTCCTTTTTCTCCGAATAAATTCATTACAAAAACATAAATTAAAATACGTGGCGTGCTGAACATTGCATTTCTAGTCACCACGAGCCTCCGTTTGCTTAGTGGAAACAGTCATTTTTGGAGGAGGAAAAAAAAAAAGACCCTTAATATTGTCCTTTATGCTGACTCGAGAATTTATTTTTATTTCAAGTACAGTATGCGCTGGAGATCAAATTTTATGATGCACACACAAGCTCAACTTGTGACTTCTGCTGGACACGAGGTCGAAGTTAATTCAATTAACTACTAAATACCAGCACGGGACATCTGACCTTTTAACACGTAGCAGTGTGCTTCATTACTGTGCACGTGAAGGAGATGACTTTGAAAATGGGGGTCATGTGTGTGTGAAGGGCCGATCTGGCCTCCTTCCAAAACTGCAACAGGGTGCAAACGCTCGGGTAGATTTCATCATCCACCCTGCTGTAATACCGGCGTGACGCTAGAGGGCGCTTTATCGAACCAATGAGATAACATTCAGTTGGCCGCTTAAAAACTCCCGCTTTCGAGGCTCAAATCGAACCACTGGCTGATACTAAAGCCTAAACAATGAAAAACGGAAGAAGCAATCATTTTCAACGACAGAGATGGTGCGGAAGAAGAAGGAAGCCACGGTAAGTAGTGGTAGCGCGGTCGTTTATATGGCGGAGGCAACGGTGCTCACCTCGAGGCGGATGTGTGAAGGAGACACAGCTGATGACGAGAGTGCTGGCACACTTTCCTGAGAGTCCTGGCCGCTGCCATGGTGGTTGAGAAGGCTGAAGTTAGAAGACGGCAAACCGGCCGAGCGACGAGGAAGGAGGAAGAAGAGCGAAGGGAGCTCCCTGGGCTGACAGAACGTCGTTGTCTGTGAGGACAGGAAGAGCTGCAGAGGTGATTTATATACGACCCCGCCCATTGTTTGCGTCACCGTGACGTTTTCAGGCCGCCCGGCCCCTCCCCCGCTGCCTCGAATCGGCTGATGACATAATTTCACTTTTTTGCTCTATGTCCTTGATTGTTGTCTTTGAGACGTTGGCAATCCTGATTGGCACCATGCAAATGTAGCCAATGTTGGTGGCTGGCAACATATTCACACTGCACTTGTGTAAAAGTACAGATACTTGTGTAAAAAGCAATTCTAAGAGAAGTACTGAAATCGATTTCTTAAAACTCAGAAATGTCCAACAGTCAGCACACTCCAGACTGTCATTTTCCATCCATCCATTTTCCGAACCTGTTTATTCTCATTAGGGTCGCGGGGGTGCTGGAGCCTTTCCCAGCTGTCTTCGGGCAGTAGGCGGGGGACACCCTGAACCGTTTGCCAGCCAATCGCAGGGCACACAGAGACGAACAACCATGCACGCTCACACTCACACCTAGGGACAATTTAGTGTGTTCAATCAGCCTGCCATGCATGTTTTTGGAATGTGGGAGGAAACCGGAGTTTGGCCGTGTTTTTTTATGACAAAAACATTTGCTTAGGGATTGTGGATGTAACTGTTTTTAATCTCCAGCCGGGAGCTTGTATTGTTATCGTGTTTGAAATGCATTTGCAAGTTAACCCGAGGGAGCTGCACAATTCAAATTACATGTGCAAAAAAATAAAAAATAAATAAAAAAAGACTTCTTAGTCACGCAGTAACCTTGGTGTTGTTGACATACAACATCTTGTGTTTAATTTTGGCCTCAAAGAGCTCCTACCAAATTGATACATTGTTTTTCCTAATAGCTCAAGGCGTCCTTGTCGAAATGTTTCATTTCTTGTGGTTTCTGATAATGAACGGGAGGGGGAAAAAAAACCCAGAGGCATTCAAAGTTGAGACAGCAAACTAACTGGAACACGAGGCTATCTTGTGGTTGACCTATCTCAGTAAGCGAGATTGTGATTGGTCGCAGCTAGGGCAGGCTGCTGATCATCACAAGATTCAGGAAACTTCAGTGATAAGTAAAAATTCGAAAATGTTTTCCGCAGTCAAAAGTGAACACGAAACTACACATTTTCTGTTTATTTCTTCCTTATACAAAGTTTATGTTGATTGAAGGAAACAAAATCCAGTGGGGGTTTGATGGTTTTCCACAACACATTGTGACATATAAACACACACGAGCATAGAGGGCACCCCCCCCCCCATAAAAATGCCTTTGATGCATCAATGGATTCAGATGTGTCGGAGTGGACATACGCGTGCCAACGTATTGCATAGGTCGCTGAAATAATAACAAATCACCATAAAGATGTCGCATGAGAATAGACAAAGCGGGCTTGATGATTGACGCGACGATTGGATCATTTTCCTTTCTATTTTTATTATTTTTTGTTCACATTCAGAGACGAGCTTGTTATAAATAACACATTTCAGTTTGGCTTCCGTATAAATAAGAACAACCTTTGCCATTGTGGCGCGCGCACACACACACACACACACACACACACACACACACACACACACACACACACAGACACACAGACACAGACACACACACACACACACTACTCTCAAAAATGTCAATGTTGGACTTGAGGGGGGAATTTCAGGACAAATCTAAAATGGGCTGTAAAACCTTTACAGGGCAACTTAGTTTGTAAACTTTTGAATGAAAATGTCCACAACATTTGCACACTAGGCTGTTTTTTTTTTTCAAAGAAAGGGTGATGTGGCCACATGTTGTTTGTGTCATCAGCAGGGACAAAGAGACACCAGAGAAGCGTACACGTGGACGTTCATGGAAGTCAAACATGATTTACAGATCAAACACTTTATGAATTTTGTTGTTCGGCTCCTTGCTCGAGCACAGCAAGTTCAAAAGGGTTGTTGGACGTGTGCAGTCACAAATTAAAGACGTCCACTCGTAAAGGTTGTAGTACGTTTTAGGTTTATCCTGAAAATGTCACCCAAAAGCCCAATTTACCGTAACTTGAAGTGACTAGTGTCTATATTGCATTGAAGAAACCGCGACTCCTTAAAGACATTTTGTTCTGTTGTCACGCTAGCAGAAAGATGACCAAAAAAGAAAAACGAAACAATCTCAGGTTCCCTGAGCAGAAAGAAGTCACACCATTCCGTTTTTTCCCCCCAAATCGAGAGTAGTTGATTAAACACTCAAAACTGTTGGCAAAAAGCCTACTGTACAGTTCATAAAGCAAGAGGGGGCCATTACATCAATTAGGGGGTGGACTGGGCATTTGTGGTTTAAAAATGTTTTACAATTGCACGGTGGGTCGCTATGGAGATTCCCTGCCCGCCCGCCCGTCCTTTTTAATGTACCAATAATATTTTGCCGCACAACTCCTAAAACAAAGGAGCTAATGTTGTTTACAGGTTAACCATTGTTTGCGATTGCACAGGAAGACAGACAAGGCGGGACGTGTTTACGCAGGCCATTTTTGTTCCGGGTGAGCATTTTGTGCAAGCTCGTGTCTTTAACCCTCCTGTTATGAAACTCAAGAGTTCTATTGAAGTAAAAGAAGGTCGGGCATATTAAATATTAGACGGTGTTCTCATTTCCTCAAGTGTACAAACTCATAAATTAAACATTTGCTCCTCTCCAAGCCTTGAAAAAAAAAAAAGCTTGCCATTCTATGGATGAGCTATAAAATTCAAGATTTGCAACCTTTTTTTTTCTTTTTTTTACAGTGTGTTTGTGCGTTGACCTTATTACTTTTTTTGTTTGCTGGGGAAGTGGACCAACAAAGGGATGGTGAGATGGTTCTTTTTGTGTGTTTACCTCTTGTACTGCACATCATTGTTTTGCATTCTGCACGAAACCAATAAAAACACGGTAAAAAAGACAGTATGTCTAGACTCTTAAAAAGATATGAAAAAAAAATACATCTTTGGTATTTTAATATTATGACTTGAACTTCAATTGTAGCACCTTTCTCACAAAAGATACGATATCCAAAAATAGGATTCCTTGATAAATCTTATCCTGAAACTTTTTCTCTCTCTCTCAAAAACATCCAAATTTATTCTCGCGATGTTAAGCTTTGAATCTCAGAGAGAAATGTTTGTTCTTTTCATTTTCAGAGTGGCTCTAATATTCCTTTGTAAATGCGACCCATAGCATAACAGGAGGGCTAAAAGAAGAAAATCCCCCCGCCGCCCCAAAATATTGCCAAAAATGAGTCGTAAATGCTGAACATGCGCGTGTTTGATTGTGGCAAAAAATGATATCACAAAATAACTCGAAATTGCTCTAGTTAAAATGTAAAAACAACCTACTAAGTAGAACTTTGTATCGTCGCTGCAATAATAATAGTTTTTTTTGTATACTTTACTGTTCTGAATATTTACTGTAGGTACAACTTCCTCTGGCGTGAACAATACTCGTCACACACGCACACACACGCACAGCTGCCACATTCACACGTGTAAAGGGGGGGCAGGGGTGGGTGGTGGTTCGCCTCTATGTGCGATTGAGGGTCTGGAAGATTCTGGATATCTGGAGCATGACGGGGCCGGTCTCGGGGTCGTTCATCCACTGGGTGCTGTTCAGGGGGTTCTCCAGCATGTCCTCGAAAGCTACGCGCACAAGGAAAGGCAGCCAATGAATTAAGGTCAGCGAAAGCAAACCCTTGATTGGCACACCACCCCACGAGCAATTTTTTCTTTTGAACAGGCTAGTAGTCAATCTAACGCATCTATTTGACCTACTCCATCCATCTATCTATTTTCAACACCGCTTCATCCTGAAGAGGGTCGCGGGGAGGTGCGGGAGCCTATCCCTGCTGACTTCAGGCGGGAGGCAGACTACACCCTGAACTGGTCGCCAGCCAGACGCAGGGTACATATAAAGACAAACGACCATTCACACCCACATTGTTACTGAATGGGAACCGATCCCACGCTGCCCGCACACAAGTCAGGGGAATGTACCACTACGCCATCGGCGACTTGACCTACTCTCTGATCATATATGGGAACGACATAAAAAAGTCTCACGTCTTAAGCTTCAGTTTTCAAAAAAGTCCTGCCAAATCAAGTCACACAACCTCGCTTCTGTATTTGTGATTGATTGTTAGACCCAGTCCCCCCCACCCAAAAAAAAATTACTGTCTTGTCAATTAGGGGTTGACCCGATGAGTCGGCTTTCCTACTCCTGATCCACGTTTCAAGCTTGAAGTTGACTTTCTGTGTTTTTGGGGTCTCCTCTTCCAACCTGCCAATTCATATCATAGGCCTTTCGACTCGCCTGTTTGTCTGTCTGTGTGGTTCTGTGGAGCAGCATAACATTTTGCCAATAGAAGAGCAGTTAACCTTGCTATTTTCTGCTATTATGATCACTGCTAGTCCCAAAATATTCACACCAGCACGTATGGCTTTGAAATAATTTCCATGTGCTTTGGGATGATGTCAACTCTTCTCCCACCTCTCCCACTGCTACTCACAGCAAGTCTCAGACCCTCACAAATAGTGTGTGTGTGTGTGTGTGTGTGTGTGTGTGTGTGTGTGTGTGTGGGTGCGCGCGCTTACCAAGGAGAGTCTTGGGGTTGGTTAAACCTAACTGGACCACAGGGTTTTCCAGAATGGCCTGGAAGAGCGGACTGTTTGTGTCAATGCCTTTGTCAAGGTCCTCTGCAGACGGCTTCTTATCTCCTAGCAGCCACTCGCACTGTAACACACGCGAACGCCACTCGTTCGTCATTGCATAGTAGCGGAGGGGAGTTGCTTCGGACATAAGCCCAAGAGTTTGCACACCAATGAAATACCCCATTATCTTTATTTTATGTGATGGAAATGGTCATATTACGAGAAATGTAATCATTTTAAGATTGCATGAAAATAGTAAAATAAAAAGTTGTATTTTACAAACAAAAAACGTCAATTGTTCGGGAGAAAAAAAAGGTGGAAGTCAAACAACAAAAAAGTAGTTTTATGAATAAAATAGAGAAAAGACATTTAAAAAAGTTGTTCCAGTCCAAAAAAATTCAACATTACAAAATAGAAAATTGTACGAGAAAGGAATGTGTTTTTCATGAATAACTTTTTAAAAAAAAAGGCCTTAATATGACAAGTTAAAAAGTTTTTCATTTTCTGAGAAAGAAAAGTTAAGAAAAGCTGTTCAAGTCAAGTCATTTAAAAAAAAATTATTTGTGCATGCAAATATTTCATGTTTTTTTCTACTTTCTTCCCTCCAAATTTCGCTGCTGTAGATTGGGAATTTCTCCATTGTGAGACAATAAAGATTTTCTTATCTGATAAAATGGGACAATACAAGGAAAATGTAATTTTACAAAAATATCTTGTTTACACACATTTATTTTATATATATATATATATATATATATATATATAAAAAACTTACATTTACATAAACAAGTGTGTAAATGTACGCAACGCAATTTAACGATGCAAAAAAGTGTAACCTGTGCCTACCGCTGCATCTTGCTGGTTGTTATTGACTTTGAGAGCGTCTATCACCTGCTTCTCTTCGAAGCCCATCTCCATGAGGGCAAACACGGCCTGCAAAGCACAAGTCTCGGCTCAATGGGAAGTGCTGCAAGTGGCTCAACTATGGAGAGAAAATAACAAAAAAGGGCACCCACTCAAAAAAAGGTGGAAGTCAAACAACAAAAAAGTAGTTTTATGAATAAAATAGAGAAAAGACATTTAAAAAAGTTGTTCCAGTCCAAAAAAATTCAACATTACAAAATAGAAAATTGTACGAGAAAGGAATGTGTTTTTCATGAATAACTTTTTAAAAAAAAAGGCCTTAATATGACAAGTTAAAAAGTTTTTCATTTTCTGAGAAAGAAAAGTTAAGAAAAGCTGTTCAAGTCAAGTCATTTAAAAAAAAATTATTTGTGCATGCAAATATTTCATGTTTTTTTCTACTTTCTTCCCTCCAAATTTCGCTGCTGTAGATTGGGAATTTCTCCATTGTGAGACAATAAAGATTTTCTTATCTGATAAAATGGGACAATACAAGGAAAATGTAATTTTACAAAAATATCTTGTTTACACACTCGAAGCCCATCTCCATGAGGGCAAACACGGCCTGCAAAGCACAAGTCTCGGCTCAATGGGAAGTGCTGCAAGTGGCTCAACTATGGAGAGAAAATAACAAAAAAGGGCACCCACTCTTGAGTCGGGCCTGAATTCCCTTTTCCTGCGAATCCTCTTGAATATCTCCGTGAGGTCATCTTGTCGATTGCTGCTGCTGCCGCCGCTGCTGCTTTCATCCGTGCCGGACAGGCCGCGTCGCAAGGCGGATGAGCAGGACGGCGTTCTGGAGGAGCCTGCAGCCGACGGGCCGGCTGTGGCGGAATTTGGGTTAGCGGAGACGCCGGCTGTAGCAGCAGCAGCGGAAGAAGCAGCGGCGGCGCCGTCTTGACTGGGCAGCGGCGTGTCCACGGAGGGGTCGTCGACGTGCTCGATCAGCCATTCCATGGCCTGCGTCACCGACATGCTGTGTGGAGAACACACACAATGTCAGGAGGCTAAGCGAGAAGCGTGAAAAAGAAGCAGAGCGTAACCGTAGCGCAAATGTGTGCTCACAGAAAAGTCTGAAAAGGAAGTGCAAGAACATGCAATAAAAACAAAGACTCATCCTGATGCGAGACGCACTGGTTGAGTCTGAGGGCTTTGACAGCTCTACTCTCGGGGAAGCCCATCTCGGTGAGTTGCTGGAGGGCCGCATCGTCCACGCGATCGTCTTCATCCTCATCCAACATGTCTGCGGGTAGAGCACAGTCGCGGATTACGGGAGGGTACCCCTCCATCATCACCCCCAGCCCACCTCATCGGGGTGCAGTGTGTTACCGTTGGCCTTTTTGAAAAGCTCCACGGCATCAGGGTTCAAGGCCAGAAGCTTCTGGGCCACTTCGATGAGGGACACCAAGATCTTTCGGAGCTCCGTCTGAAACTGGACAACGGCCGACAATGAAGTCCGGGTGTACGCCAAGTTTTTTCTTTGGCAGTTCTTCTGCGGGAGGCCAACTGGGGTGGCATTAAACAGCTTAAAGCACGCTCACGGAGGGCAGAATAACACACAGGAACCTCCATGGTGCATTCAGGGTGCTTTCAGGATGTCGAGAATTTGTAAATGCACCGCGCTGTTTTCGGCAGCCTCAACAAGGAAGAAAGAGTACAATTTACGTCTCTGATGTTGTGCTGCGTGACGGTGCGGTCCGAGTGGCGAGTGCTTAGGCTGGTGGTGGCCTTCAAGATAGCGTCCTTGTCCGGGGCCTTGTTGTCCTGTTTTTTCTGCCACACACAAAAGCGGGGCCAAAGGTTTTCAGGAGCGTTCCTGTAGCTACAAATGTTTTCTTGAAATGTTCACAGAGGAGCCATAATCACATTTCAGACAGTTCATATTACCGTTTTCAATTTGGAAGTATTGTTTAATACCCGTATTCAGCGTTCCTTAGACTAGTAGCTGGTTTTCTAACGTTATTATTTTCTAAATTTGTTAAAATTTTGGTGTACTTTTTGTGCGAGTTGTCTCGTATTTCTTTTTATGAATATCTTATATTGTCTCTTTTTTTTCTTACCTTTTCTTCAGCGCACACCTCAGCCATCTTGGGAGGGGTTGGCGGCGGCCTTTTCTTTATGAGCAGCAGAACATCTGAAACCATTAAAAGAAATAAAAATAGCATTGTTTTGATGTCTTTTTGTATTTTTCTGATTTTCTCTCTTTTTTTTTGCTACCTTTGTCTTTGAGACTTTCATCCGCCACTGTTTTGGTGTCGCTGAGTACTCGCTCTGTGGCAACATGGATGAGCTTGTGGTGGGTCAGTGTTTTGGGGTCGTCCAAATTTCCGTGAACACACTGCAACAAAAACGTTCCGTCCCTCCATTTTTGCTTTTTTCACCATCTTTCTGTCCTTTCCTCCAATCCTGTTATGAATCCTTGTTTCTTTCCATCCAGCCTTCTTTCTTTACATACTTCTTTCCTCCCTTCCTTTCATCCTTCAGCTTTTCCCTCTTTCCTCCATTGCTTCCATACATCCTTGCTTCCTTCTATCCTTTCTCACGTTCATAGTATTTTTGTCCTTTTGTCCCCCCCCACACACACACAGACACACAACCTCCGTCTTAACTACATTCTTCCATTCATCCTTACTTCGTTTCTCCCTTAAATACATATATACTTCTATCCTTCCTCTTTCGCTTCTTCCCTACATCCTGCCACCCTTCCTAAAAAAAGCGAATTTGTCATGGAAGCTTTTGTTAAACAATTTAACAAAAGCTTACAGTCATAACGATCTATAGCAACAAGAAAAGCTATGTTCATTGTCCTGCTCACTCAGTAAATGACAACTTTATTGCTACTCTTCAACAGACTCTTCATTAGCAACACCGGCGCTTGATTTAATGACGTCCACATTCTCTCTCGCGCTCACTTTCTCACACACTCACTCACACACTCACGCGCCGCGTGCAAATATTACTTTACAAAGACAATGACGATTCCATACGTTTAGGTCCCTAATGTTATGACCATAGAGAACACAATACCAACTGTAAGGCTAATAAAATTCAATACTGGAGTGTATTAACAAATGTCATAAATATAGCCACATCCAAAAAGGGAAAGTTAGCTGCTAGCATCGGAGAAGGAGAGAAGAGAGTGAGGGAAGGCAGCCGAGGCTAAAAATAACCACAGCCAGCAAGCCAGCCGGCTCGCCCTTTAAATTAACTTAACTATAAATACGAGGGCCTGGCTGACACTGACATTCGCAGACGAAACAAGCATAAAAAGGGGGGAAAAGCTCACATGTTTCAAGCACTTCTCCTTGAGTTTCTCCACCGTGCTGTCTTCCGGGATCTCCTCCAGCCACTCGGCGCCGTCCACGGTGCAAATGTGAATCTTCAACATTTTACCCGCGAACATCTTCTCCTCCTGGACGAACATGGCGGCCCCGCTTTTTATTTTTTCCAGGCTAAAAAATGTCTTTTGGGCTTTTAGTTCAGCAGCGGTTGTGATTTTATATGAGGCGCCCCCTCCACCACCGCTGCCATCCACCGCCGCTGCCGCCTCCTCCTCCGGTTCGCTGTCTAGCAAAGCTCGCAGTCGGTTGTGTCACAGCTAGCGGCGGCTAACGGCTAAACCTTTTGACTGAGGCACATTTTCGGGTACTAGGTGGCCGGCGAGCTCGTTCCGTGGCCCGGCCAGAGGTAGTAGCTTTTTTTCTGCGACCCCCGCTCCAGTCTCCGATTTACGAAGCGCTAACAACGAGCTTCAATGACAGCGAGGCGAGTCTATTTTTACTGTCACGGTTGAACTTTGAACTGGAACAGTGGTGGCGGCGTTGCATCATGGGAGTTGTGGTCTCATACGCCACCCTTTGAAAAACATTTGCCTCATAGCGTAACTGCCTGCGTCACTTTGACGTACTTTTACCACATCAACAACGCGCTTGCTTAAAATGTTATTTTTTGTTTTCCGAAAACCTAACGTAAGATAAATACTGCTGCATTATAATTACTATATATTATATATTGAATGATTATTTATGTATACTGACATTTTGCTATGACAATTGTTCCATATTTCGTTTATATTTCATCCTATTTGTGTATTTATTCACATTAAAACAATTGTGGATCTTCTGTTTAATATTTTAGTATTTTTCATTCAATTTTGTTATCTTGTGTTCTTCAAAAAATATATTTGTTTTCTGAGTCAAATATTTGTTTTGACTTGTGCCTGTCGATAGATTTGAATTGTGTTCCACAAGGCTCCATACTAAAGTCACAATTGTTTACAGTATACCCAACATAAATGTTAGGAAAACTAGTGGCCTTTAGTACCATACTCAGTGTCTTCATTTTACATGCGTTTTTGGTCTCCATGCGTTTTTTATACATATATTTATTAATTTATCGTAATTCTGACTTTCTCACCTACCCAAACACCTTAATAAAAGACTGGACTGGCATGTTCCAACTTGCATTCAAATGTAGATAAACAAAAGACACCTTTAATCAATGTTGTACTGGATTTAAAATTATACAATTCATTGTTTGCTCATTAAAAATCCCAGAGTTTCCAGACAAACAGGTGTCATTTATTATATAAGAAACTTTTTTTACACACTGAAAATAAAAGGGAACTGAATATTTGTCAGTCACATCTTTTAATAAAACGAAACACATTCCAGGGTGCACGTGAGCAACAGTATGGATGTTCACCCATTTTATTGTGTAACAAAATATTTTAAAACATACATTTGTTTTCTGCTTTAAGACATGAGATTTCTTCGACAAAATCCTGTTTACAGGGAAATTCGGGAGCTATTTACAAGATGGAGGAACACAGCCATGGGCTCCAACTAATTGGAGGAAGGTTTTTTTTTTCTTTGACCCCCTCCTGCTTAACAACAAGAATTTAAGATTCAATGGCCAAACGGGCCAATTTGTCAGATGATCACCGGACTTAATATAAAGCCTGTTCTAACACAGCCAGTCTCCAAGATGGCCTCTAAACTGTACATATTCGTCTTGCATTTTGTTCAGTCAGACATTTACAAAAACAAAACAAAACATTCCCATAACACTGGAGGTTCTCCGTGGAATGCCCCTCAAATGCAATTTTCTTTATCAACAAAGATTTTACAAAGAATAAAACGGAGCCAAAATGAGAACAAATAAATAGCCAGTGTATGTATGGAAAGGGAAAAGCACAGAACAAGAATATACAGTATTTACCAGCAAAATTGGCAAGGCAATGTTTAAATAAAGACATTAATAAATAAAAATGAAATTAAAAAGGCTGAAAGGCATGTGTTTTTGTTTGTAAAAAATGGTGATTCCCAACGACTGTGCCACAGGAAATTATTCAAATTCATATGATTATCTCCTTATTTATTAAAAAAAAAAAAAAAATTAAAGTACACTACTCCCAAAAAGTTCGGGGTTTGAGCTTTCAGGTGAAATTGCAGGAAGAACTTCAAATGCACTACAAAGTTTACACATGACCTTAATTTGACCTTTGCTAAGTTACTGAATGGACATGTCATACTGCTCAATGTTTCAGTACCTTTTTGCACAAACTTGCCATTTTTCAAAGTAGAAGTCGACCTGCAATATTCACAAAAGGTCACCTCAGGGTCAATACGAGGATGCAAATTTCCCCAGTGTGGGACAAATAAAGGTTATCTTATCTTATTTTATTTCAATGAGCATTTAAACATTTTTTTATTTAGTGTCTTTATACTGTAATGTAAAAAAAGAATGCTTTTTTTATTCTTACATGAATGGCACAGATGCATTTTAGGTTTATCCTAAAATTTCACATCAAAGACATGCCTTGGCTCAATAAAACGTTGGGAAAGACTGGTATGAAAGCATACAAAATATTGTAAATTGCCCTTTAGTCATCTGTTTTTTTTGTTTTGTTTTTTTTTTACAAAAACATACCAAGTCATTCTTGAAAAAGAGATTGTAAATCTCATTGAGTTTTTAACCTAATTGTATAAAGGTGGAAAAAAAAAAACCCAATAAAATAAAACACAGAGCGACCAGTCCCTTTTTCACTTGAACTGCTCCGGGAGGTGTCCCATCTGGGCCGGCATGCTGGTGGGAGGACTGGAGATGCCCTCTGACCAGTCCGACATGTTGGAGTGCGGCGAGGAACTGGACCACTGGTCCGGCGAGCCCGGCGAGGGTGTCAGAAAGGGGTGGTCCGGCACCTGGACCTGATGGCTGGGGGTGTTACCGTCCACGGGGCCTGAGTAGCTGTGCTGCGAGGGTGGCGTGAGGAACTGCGCGCCCAGGGTGGCGGACATTATCTGGGCCTCCGGGGGAAGGATGGTGCGGATGGGCATGGTGCCCTGTTGGAGCTCCGGGGGGCTCAGGTCGGCATTGATAAAGTTCTGGTTCTGAAGTTGCTGGAGATTCTGCATCTGCTGCATGATGGGATTGAGGCGGTTACCAGGAATGCCCGTGTAGGACATCACCTGAGGGTGCCCGTTGTGGGCAACGGTCATCATCCCGTGCTGACCGCCCGCCCTCATGGCGCCAAACTGCATCCTGGACAACCAGTCGCATGGGCCGCCGGACCCCGACACGGGCATGTGAGTGAGGCGGGGGGGAAGCGGGTCGAACTGCATCCGTGCCAGCTCCTGCTTGCTGGGCATGACCATGTGGCCGACGCCCATGTGCGGGTCCGACATGGTTTGGAGGTGGCCGAGCGCTGCCGGCGTCATCACGGGCGGAGATGCGGCGTCCGAGCCGTAGCCTCGAGGCGACTCCAGCGAATCCACCGGGGACAGCACGGCCGAGCTGTCCAGCAAGCTACCGGGCGGCTTCCCGTCTTGGGAGTTCTTCTTCTTCACTTTAATTTCTTTGGGGTCCTTGCAGACCTTTGCGGCCGGTTTGCGAGCCTTCTTGCCACCGGCCAGGCCCTGGCCCTGAGGCGGTGGCTGCTTCATACTGGCCAGGTATCCGTTGGGCGAGCAGAGCGGAGGCGACAAAGCGGTACCCAGGGCGCCTCCGTGCATGGGGGGACTCCGCACCAGATTGTACTCGTCCATCAGACGGACGATGTCATGGTGCATTCGCTCCTGGGCGATGTCTCGGGGAAGTCGGTCCATGTGGTCCGTTATCTCTCGGTTGGCAAAGTGGTCCAGCAGGACTTTGGCTGTCTCGTAGCTCCCTTCCCGGGCTGCCAGGAACAGCGGCGTCTCCTCCTGAGGTAAACAACAAGACACAGGAAGCTAGGCTTCAAGGGTTCTTGATTGTGCGGGTCAAAGAGTGAACCACAAGTATGTCCGTTGTACTTGACTATGTTTTGATACCTTGTTGTTCTGCATGTCCTTGTTGGCGCCGCTCTTGAGCAGCATGATCGCAGCTGCCACGTTATTCACAGCAGCGGCCCAGTGTAACGCTGATTTGCCTGAGAGGACGAGCACAGCGTAAACAACAAAAACTCTCATGTTCATTATGAATGCGGGTGTTTTTTTTTTTGGGGTTTTTTTTTTTACCGAAATCATCAATGGCGTTGACGTCGGCATGGCAGTTGATGAGCTCGTCAACCATGCCCTCCACCGCCAGCCTGGCAGCCAAGATGAGCGGGGTGGTGCCGTCGTGCATGCGGGCGTCCAGGTCGGTGGCGCGGTTTCTTATGAGAATCTGTACACATTATCAAAAATTGAGTCATGATACAACGGCGGATTACGTAGTTTGTGGAAATATTTTACGAGGCTTATTCCTTCATTTCTGAGATTTCATTCTTTAAATATTTGGGGATATTTCATATACTTGATTTCAAAAATGATTTTCCATTATTTTGCTGATTATTCCATCTGTTACGGTTGTAATTTGAGTCCAATATTTTGTATTGTTGTCGAATATACATTTTTCCACATTCACCCTCTTGTTTTTGTATTTTTGGTCTAATCTTGCTGATTTTTATATTTGAGTAGTTTTTAGTATTTACAACTGCTGACATATTTTTTGTATGTTTGTCTAATATTTTGTATTATTGGCATATTTTTGTATTTGTGTCCTTGCACAAGTGCATTTTTTTCCTACCTTTGTCAGGAGAGGTGGCAAACGCTCTATTTAAGTAGGAATACATATAGTTATAAATATATATATAAAATTCTCCCCTAGGCCCAAAAGGTCTGAGCACCCCTGTTCTCCACTATCCCAGTGGGACACAACAAACCCCTCGTCTCACCTGGAAGACCCCCTGGGCGTCGGCCGCCACGGCGGCATGCAGTGGGGTCCGGCCCATGTTGTCCTGGATGTTGGCATCGGCACTGGCCTCCAGCAGCCGCTTGGCGGCGTCAGAGCGGGCGTAGCGGGCGGCCAGGTGCAGCGCCGTCTCGCCGGTGCGGTCCGTCTGGTTGTGGAGGCTGGCGCCTTGATAGATGAAGTCGTTGATGACGTTGGCCGAGGCGTCCTCCTCCTCCTCGCTATTGCCCGTCTCCAGGCCACCGCCGCTACACGACGCGATCATTAGCGGTGTGAATCCATCTGAGGTGGGCACAGGCAAAAAAAAAAAAAAAAAAGAAAAAGGTTGGTTCTTATGTTACAGCTCGGCCAATTTCGCCATTCCCAGTTTGGAAAGTATTCACAGTCAAAAAGTGAAGCGCCATGGATACTTTCCGGATGCACTGAGTGCACTTTTTCCACATTCTAATATGTTACAGCCTTATTGCGAAATTGCTTAACTTCATTAACATGCCTTAAAATTGAAAGCCCAGTTGAAATTGGAAATGGTGGCAAGGAAGTGTGTGTAAGTGATACATAAAGTGGTCTCCTCCACTCACACTGCCCAGTTGTCAAGACAACAACAGTTCCGGCATGAAAAGCCATACAGATCCACCATGAGTGTATGACGAAGTAGCAGGAAAAAAAAAAAAATAGGTGTAAGACTCAGCAGAGGACGGAAGACAGCAGGGTACACTTCAAAGCAGAGGCCCATCAAAACAGAGCAACAAACAAATTGAATAACGGATTCCGATGGATGCTTCGGCGCCGCTTCAGAAGAAAAGCTAAGCTGGGGAAGGGGTGGGGGGGGGGGGTCAAACCTCAATATCTCACTGAACGAAGCGGCTCGCCGCGGCAACTCGGACGGGCTTTTCTCCTCTTCAAAAGGAATCACGGGCCGCAGATCCCGCAGATTTGGTCGATCCCAGCGGGGGCGAAAAAAAGTGCGCTGGCTAGTTGTTAACCCCGTTACTTTGATTTGTCCTAGTTTCTATTCTGGGGATTGGGCATGTCGGGCTGGGAAAAAAACGTCGACCAAGTTCAATAGGTCGACCACAAAAATAGGTCGATCAACTTTTTGGCTTCGCTAGCAGAGTAAATCCAATTCCTTGAGTATTTGATGTAAAAGTTGAAATTATATTTGATTCTAAAAACCTGAGATTGTGACAGCTCTGTCGAAATGTGCAACAAAATTGCCCTTTTGAATTTGACCCCTTCATTGGATAGAAGAAGGGTATCCCAAGTCCGGCATACTGCACGTTTTTTATTGGCCGACCGCCAAACCACCAAAAATCGATGCTGTCACAATATTTCAAACATTATTTTAGATTTTGATTTCAAGTTAGTAACTTACTAGATAAGTTGAATTTTATGTTAAGTTGTTTGTCCTTTTCTCCATAAAGCATCTTTGAGTGTGCTAAAAAGCCCCATATAAATGTGATAATAATAATAATAATACATTTTATTTATAAGCGCCTTTCAAGTGATGATTTTGTTTCTACTTTTTTTTTTTTAATAACACCATACTGTGATCTTTTCTTTATGTTCAAATTTTTTTTTTTTTTGTTTTTTTACCAGGTGTCTCTTCCTTCCAGTCAAAAACGTTTGGATATCCCTAGGTTAGAAAATGGAGGTCCATTACTTGCGCGCAATGATTTCTATGATCAGGAATCAATGCCCTCCCCCGCCTCCCTCTTCACAGTCCCCCAGGCGACGGCTCCTTTGAAGAAGATCCCTCGCCTGCAGCAACGTGCACGCCAACGCAAATCACACACTGGCAACGTGATGTGCTCTCTGCTCTGACAGAAAGCACAAGACACACACACACATACATACATACATGCATACATACATACATATATACACATGTGCTGGCGTCATAATTACATTTGACACGTGCCTGGTCATTTATAATAATTGTTTATGCTGCTCATGTAATAAAATGTAACAACGGGATCAAAAACAATATAAGATCCGACATGTACAAAAAATAATAATTAATAACCTGATTGTTTTTTTGTTTTTTTTTTACAAGAGATAAAAAGTGTGAGCGTGTGTGTGTGTGAGAGAAAAAAAAAATTAATAAATAACATTATAAATAACATCAACGTACAACAATTACTATTCCTTGACTTAGACATTCGATTGTCCACCCAAAGAGGCTGCGTGTCACCCACCTGGCCCCCGAACATTCACGTCCATACAGTCGCTGTCAATCTCGCCCTGGGGGGGTGTGGGTGCCACAGAGGGGACGCGCAGGTCGGCCGCATCCAGGTGCTGCTGAGTCCACTGCCGGTTGTCCGCTCGCTCGCCCGCGTCCCGGACGGCATGCTCGTCAAACTGTTGGAGAGTGGAGAGGAAAAAAAAATCTATAAAGTGGGGTTCAAAAGTGGGTATGCGGATTTCATTTAGAAAATAAATAAATAAATAACAATAACGTTATCAAATCACAGTTAGAATAAGAGTCAAGTGACCATTAAGTCCAACCTTGCAAAAGTTTTTTTCCATTGCGCCAGGCTATCAAAACAGGTATTTTATACAATTTACAAAAAAAAATAAAATCCGTCTTTCTTTTGTTCTTTAGTACAATTCAGAGTCTGCACTTTTTTTTTGGCTTGAGTAAAGAAGTTGAATCAGTAGATTTAATTTTGCCAGTTTCTTTTTTTCTGGTCACCTAATTAAGGACAGTACCTTGCCAACAGATTATTTGATGTGGGAAAAATATAGTATGTAACATAAAAATTATATGACAATAATGTTTATCAGCGCTAAGAAATATTAGATTAAAAAATACAAACGTTGTAAAAAGAAATCAGACAAGATTACAAAACGTAAGACAAAAAAAACCCCACAAATATTGGGAAAAAATCCAAACAAAATTTGATAAAAAAAATACAAAAACATTAGTGTAAAATACATGAAAAGAATTTCTAGAAAAATCTTGGAAGAAAGAAAACATATTTTAAAAGTATTTTAACAGAAATGTTAAAAGCAAAAAATATAAAACTGAAAAAATTCTTTAAACTTTAAAAAATTGAAAAGAAAAATAACCAGCTCAGCCACCTCTTGAATATAGTTTACGTTTGACAACACATTAAAAGAAGAAATCTTTTGGCATGAGGTCAGGTGATGGCAGTGGTCCAAAAAAAAAAAAATTATAATAATAATAATAACAAAGAAGGTACAACAAACAATAAGGTCGTCTGTATAATTCTCATAATTACTTTCAAAGATTTTTTTTTGTGTGTGTTGATTTTTTACCCTGAAGCGTTTGCCGTCTGAGGTCTCATCTTCTCCCCAGTCGTTATGGCCGTCATCCATGAGCGAAATGTCCGAGGTGTTTTTCAGCGGCCTGTGACGAACAAGAAGAGATTCCTGTGAAATTACTTCTTCCGTTAATGGTGGGAGGGGGAAAAAAAAAAGCATTGATCAAATCCACACCCCACCGCTTGCTTTTCAATTAAAGAGCAAGTCAACCGCCAATCACGGCGTTAATGCTGGAGAACGTGTTATTTGCCCCGCTTTTAGGACATTTTACTCTTTCAATATTTCTTGACGATTGCAACTATTCAAACTTCAAAATACTTGTCTTGTCTTAGGAAATATATCACACGCCTCCCAGGTGAATGGGCTGTATTTTTTATATCGCGCTTTTCTACCTTTGGTACTCAAAGCGCTTCACGCTTTTCCCAACTGATCACACGGCATCGGGAGCAACTGGGGGTTTAGCATCTTGCTTAAGGATACTTCAACAAGGTTGCAATGGCCGGGGACCGAACCCCCAACCTCTGGGTTGGAAGACGACTCTACCACAGAGTGATGCCGCCTCATAATTTCCACAGAAAAATTGATATACCACCTTATTCCATCTGTCTTGAGCAATTCATATGATTTTAACTTCAAAATGTTAACCCCATTTAGTACATATGTTGAACTATTAATGAAATGAATGAAAGCTCAGGATCACATTCCCCAAATTCACAAAATAAAATTCCCCACTTAATAAGAGATACTCTGTGCATTCACCTCCTCCGTCCACATTTCTGGAATGATTCAAAACATTTGTACTTGAAGTCTGAGACTTTTACAATTGTAGAAATTCCACATCCACATCATGTCTACTTCAACTGCATTTCGCCTCTTTCCCTAAATTTGAAGAAGCCTTTCCCCCGACCCTTAAAAATACACCCCAAAAGAAACTTACTTCAATCCCACTGAATCCTCCCCGACAGGCTCGCGTCTCTTCTTCTTGCTGGGCTCGGTGGTCTTGAAGCCCTCGGGGAGCCAGAGGCGCCCGTGCTCGTGCCGGCGCTTGCGGGCGGCCACCATGCCCACGCCGACGAGGGCCAGCATGGCCAGGCTACCCACCACCAGGTAGAGCGGGTAGAGTTCCTGCGGCGGCTGTGGCTCGGCGCCGCCTGGGGGGAGAAGGCACAGCATGGTCACGGGACCGAGGACGGAGCAGAAGTGCGTGCGCCCCTAACTCTTGCTTCGACTATCTATCCTGTAATAATCACAATTGCAAAGAATGGGGCGTGATTTAAAAAAAAAAAAAAAAAAAAGGAGAAAAAGACCACTACCACCCTCCTAACTCCCTTTTCAACTCAGGATAACGGGAGACAACTTTACCATTTCTTCTTTAAGAGAAAAAGAGAAGGGAGGGGGATTAATGAACTTCAAATTACTGCACGCGCTTTAAGCTGTAAAGACGGAGGATTTATTAGGATTTTCCAGATAACAAAGACTCCCAACTTCTAGCACACTCCCGATCAATTTTTCCCTTCTCTTCCCCCCCACCCCCTCTACTAATGATTTTGAAATGATAAACTCCCCTCCCCAACCTAAAGCCTTAAGTCCCGGTATTACATCCAACGAGGTGAAGGTTGCAGCAGCAGGCCCTCTCGTGCCATGGCTGCATGAAAAAAAGAAAAGAAAAAAAAAAGAGATAGAGAGCTGCTCTGAGTTGATTTGCGGCAATTAAGCATTTTGGAGCCTGAAGCCAGTGGATTTAAGACCAGCCAGGAAAAAGGATTGATTGATCGGCGCTGCATTTGTTCATGGCCGCATAACAAATACACAATCAAAGAGCGGCAGGGTTAGGACCTGACCGGGGGTGGGCGGGTACCGTGAATATTTCCATTTTATGCACGTGTCCCACCTGTGCGTGCACGAGCGGTCGAGCATGTACGGAAAACTCCAGAATGAGGCCCGACTATACCCATTCGACATCAATTGAAGCAATCCCAACTCAAATCGACTCAAATACTCAAACAGCCATTGTGAAAATAAAAAAAAGAGAAAAAAAGAGCCATTGTGAAAAAAATCCCCCCAAAAAACAAGAAAAAAAACCCACACAGAAAACGTTTCTTTTTTGGATTTACCCAGGGTTTACAGATTAGGTTTTGAACAGTTAAATAAATGTTGGCGCTGGGTGCCTTACATCGGCAACAAAACATTTCATTGGAATGTTTCAACAATACCACAATCTTGAAATTTTGAATAACATTTGAAAAATGAAAAAAGGAATTTAAAATAAAACATTGATTTCCCAAAGTCACTGAGAGTCACAGTAGATGGATGAAAGAACCACATGAGGCTCCAGAGCCGCAGGTTGCAGACCCCGTTAAGGCTGACATATACTCACTATAAACGGCTTCAATGGTGTAAGGAACGTCCAATTTTCCACTGGAGGCCAACGCCCCGAGGAATGCGGCGGCGTCGGTGGTGCTCGGGAAGCACTCGCTGGACTGCTGGACGCACTGACGGTTGTCAACTTCCAAGTGTACGATGGAGCTACGGGGCCACGGGAAATACATTTAGTGGGTTCGTCATCTTCAAAAAGATGATCGAAATCCCAATGACTTATTACCAGTGAATCGGTCGGGCTTTATTTTCCACTGCCACCTCTGCAGAAATCTTTAAAAAATCTTTCTCACCCTTTTATCTGCAGGTGATCCAACTCCCGCTTTGTCCAGCGAGGCCCGTCGGCGCTCCTCCGGACGACATTCAGCACCTTGCCTGGCACGTCGGACCACGCGTCCGCCGAGCGCTTGACGTTGTACTTCTTCAGCTCCTGCTCGTTACCATAATAGGGGTACACCATGCTCTCGCCCTGCGCGTCCATCCGAAACACCACGTTGGTGCGCAGGACACGGCTGAGCTCTCGCAGGAAGCCGAACGAGTTGTTGAGGAGCTGCTCGGGTACGATGAGGACCACCACAACCAGCTGGCCCAGGGCAAGCTTCTCGGGCATGTTGTGGGCGCAGTCCAAGCCGTCCCATTCGCACTCGGCGTTGTTGCAGCCCTGGTCGCAATGGCCGTCCGCGTAGTGGTCTTTGCAGTACTGGTCGTACAGGGGGCTGCAGAACAGACACCATTAAGTTGAAGGTGTGTGAGGGCTTCAAGAAGACTTTTCATCACAACGTCTAATGTAGTGCCAGTGTTGGTGGGGGGATTAAAACATATGCACTTGATTAACGCGAGAAATTTGTCCTCATAACACACAAATGCGACCGTTTTGGACGCAGTCCTGAGCCCTGCCTGTAAAAGTTAGGGTGCATTTTAGGTTCATCATGAAATTTCACCCATAAGCCGATTACCTAAACTTTTTTGTGTATGTTCTTTGTGGAAACTACCTATGTCTTTGTATCCCTTAAAAAATATATATAAATACAGTATATTAAAAATATGAATAGGGCTACATTTAACAGGACACTAGATGAGGAATCATGATCATTAAAGTAGATCATTTTGTAACAGAATCAATAGATGACTCACTTGCATTGCCCTTCCAGATTCTGGCAGTCAAATCCATCGTAGAGGCACCCGGCGTTGTCACACTGCGAGTCGCACTTGCCGTCGTTGAAGTAGCGCCAACACTGCAGCGAGGCCGAGCAGTTCTTCCACGGGTCGTTGAAGTTGAGCGAGCAGTCGCCGTTGTCCCAGCCGCATGCGTGGTTGTTGCACAGCACGTCACACACCTGGTTGTGCTTGCGCTCCTCGCACTGGGGGATCTCGCAGGCCTCGTCTGGTGCCGACGGTGGCAGCGGCGCCACGTCGTGGCCCGGCCCGCCCGGGGAGCTGTAGTCCAGGATGTGGCACCAGAGGCCGTTGAAGTTGGCAGGGCAGACGCAGCGATAGTACGGCGCTTTGACCGTGTCCTCGCACGTGCCCGAGTTGTAACAGGGATTGGATTTGCACGGGCTGTCGCTGGGGTACTGGCACTCGGGCCCCGTGAAAGACGCCGTGCACAGACACTTGGGACTTTTTTGGCCCGAGATGCAGGTGCCGCCGTTGTGGCATTGGAGGCTGCCGCAAGCGTGGCCGTTATATTCACATGTGGAGCCAGTGAATCCCTGTTTGGAAGAGATTCACTATGAACAACAAAAAATGTCATTTCTTCCCTACAGTCGATTCTCTTCATTACATCTTCATATCCTGACAACATTGCTTTGTCAGATTTTGTTTGTCCAATCAGATTTTAGCCCGTGCGTGCTGCCATGTCAAACTAATCTATTCATCATCAGTATGGTTTCCCCAGGTAACTTCAACTGTATTAGCAGCACAAACTCCACACAGGAAGGATTCAAACCCACGACCTCTGTTAGACTAGGCTTTGGCCTGAGCATATATCGCAAATAGCAAACTGCAAATATGCATGGGAACGCTGTAATTGCGATCGTGCTGGCGACCTCTGTTAGACTAGGCTTTGGCCTGAGCATATATCGCAAATAGCAAACTGCAAATATGCATGGGAACGCTGTAATTGCGATCGTGCTGGTTTTACGAGTTAAGTCGGGTAATTGCCCACTGAAGGCCCAGCTATCAAATACTGTACAAGGTTTGACACTGACAAATCTAAAAGATGCTTTCCTTCGTCTGGGAATGTGTGCACACTTACTGGAGGACATTTGCAAATGAAGCCGTGCGGGGTGTTACTGGCGACAGCACAGGTCCCCCCGTTGCGACATGGTTTCCCTTTGCAACCATCAAACACGGCGTCACACCGCTGACCTATAGTCAAGTCGCAAAATTATTATTGATATCGACAATGTGAAACTTTCGATCGGGCGCGCTTAAGATCAACACCATACTTTGCCCACCTCTGGACTAACTCAAATGTACCTGTGAATCCGGTACGACACTCGCAGCGGTAGTTGTTGGCCAGCTGGATGCAGCTGTGCGTGCCACGCGGATCACACGGGTTGGAGAGGCACTCGTTGACGTCGCCTTCGCAGCGTTCGCCCACGTATCCAGGCGGGCACAGGCAGTGGTAGCCTCCCACGCCGTCCACGCACCTGCCGTGGTTGAAACACTTGGGCTCTTTGGTGAGCGGTTCGGCCGGCGGCATGCAATCGTCCACATTGATCTCGCAGTTGATGCCTGGTGTGAATGTAAAGAATTAAATGGCTTGTGCATTGGATTAATTCATTCCTCCTGGTGTGTGAACACCGGGGGGCAATATCATGCAATCCTTCAGACAAACAAAGACTTTGACTGAACTACTGTAAGTGATTCAGCAATCTGCAGTAATATCAGTCATTTTATGCAGAGGATAAAGAATACATGCTTTTTCAAACTGAATAATTTGATTCGTTTTCATTAAAAATAACAGCCTTGCTTGCCACATAAGCACATCCATGAAAGTGTCCAATTTGGAATGTTTCAAACATTCAACGTGAACATTTATCCGAAACTCTCCCAAAATGGACAAAAAATGTTCCACACATCCGCAACCATAAGTGTAATTAATTAAGAGACACAGAGAAGAGGATTCGGGGGAAAGGGTGTTCTGACCTTGCGTTCCCCTGGGACAGGAGCATTTGTAGGTATTGATCAGGTCAATGCAGGTGCCCCCGTGCTGGCACGGCTGAGAGAAGCACTCATTGATCTCATCGGAACAGTTGGTCCCCACAAAGCCCGGCGAGCACTGCGACGCAAAGATGGAGGAAGAGAAAGAAGAGGAGGAGGAGGAGGAGGAAGAGTTAAATCGATGGCGGACATGAAACACAAAGATTTTTGTTTACTTGGCGTTTTTCTTTCCGGGCCAAGGCCGGACTGGAGCTTTTTTGTCGAGGGGAGATTAGCATTACTGTAGGTGGATGCAGTTTATAAATGTGGCCGAGTAGTTACAGTGACTCCAGAGAACTATTTCATGTCCAGTGGTACCTCTACTTACGAAATTAATTGGTTCTGGAAGAAATTTCTTAAGTAGAAAATTTTGTAAGTAGAGATGCGTTTTCCAGGTAAATGCTCCAATTCGTTCATCTTCTGCCCTTCCATGCCTAACCGATACAGGTTTTGTATTTTTGGATTGTATTTTTAAATCTCTCTGTGTGTGAGATGGCTGAAATAAATTTTTTTGTACTTCTTGAAATTCAGATTTTTTTTTTTTACCTTGCAAGTATATCCTCCTAGAAAGTCCAAACAAGTGGCTCCATTTTGGCAGGGGTTGGGCGTGCATTCATCCACTTGCTCCTCACAGTAGCTTCCTGTATAGCCCACCTGACAGTGGCAGCGGTGAACGTTTCCTGCGTCCAGACACTGGCCTGAGTTACGGCACAGGTTGGCGACGTCCACCCCTTTGAAAAGAGGAAATCGGACATATTATCTTAGTTTTGTTTACTTGAATTTAAAACAGGCCCCAGGTGTGACTGTCAATAAGAACACAATAAGCAACTTTTCACCTTGTTTTCAGCTCTTTTCCCCCCTAGAGTACAACATCCATTACCACCACGACAATTAGGGCCAAGCTAGAGAGTGGCTACATGTTGAGCCTTGGGTCTAAACCCCCCAAAAACAAAAAACAAAACAAAACTACGAGTCTACATAAAACAGTAAAAGCATGGGTTGTATTTTCACTTCATTAAGCTGCCGAAATAACTTCTCAAATACCGCAGCTTAGAGGCATCAAACTCTCAAGGGCTGGTGGCCTGATCCGGCCTACTATATAAAGCTTTATGTGTGCCACTAAAGCAAATATTGATTTTTGCTGAATGTTTAGGAAATGTGCTCTCATTTTTTATATGTGCCCTATTTTTTACCTCTCTGTTTGGCTGCTACCTCGCAGGAGACACTCGGTATGTCACAGTACACGCCCGCCCAGCCGGTCTGGCACTTGCAGCTGTAGGCAGTGTCCCTTTGCCAGCAGGTACCCCCGTTCTTACAGGGTGATGAGCTGCACCAGTGCACCAAATTCTAAAAAAAAAAAAAAAAAAAAAAAAAAAAAAAAACATGACTTGCTGTGATGACCTGGATAATATAGAAAACGGCACTAAAATTACTACTTTTTTACTTTACTTTTATTTATTTCCAAACAAGCTCATCTGATCTTAGTATTTGTTTTTTTTTTTGTTTTAAAGGATGTCCCCTTGAGATGCATCATCTAATTTTCGAGGGGGTCCTATCACAATGTAAATGTATTACTCCCTTAAAATTACCTGACATGCAGACATGAATGTCTAAACTGCAGGCAAGAGAAGCAAGTACATACACCCATAGGTGAAAATATTGACAAAAATGTGCGGGTGTACTCCCTTTTGTGAGATACTTTAACATGACTCATATAACCTATATAATGCCACATGTAACCTTAATATTAATATGCCACACATACCTTTAATATGATTTACATAACCTCAAGAATGCAACACCTAATATTCCAAATGCCATTATTACAAGGCGATTTCCGACCTGACAATTGAGTCCCGTGTATCCGTGCGGACACACGCACTTGTAGGTGCCGTAGCTGTCCTGGCAGGTGCCGCCGTGCATGCAGGGTCTGGAGTCGCACTCGTTGATGTCGTGCTGACAGTAGCTGCCGGTGAAGCCGGACGGGCACAGGCATGTGAACGCGTTGATGCCATCCACGCACGTGCCGCCATTGAAACAGGAGCTGCGAGTAAAAACGCACAGGTTTGTAAAACATAGTACAGGGACAAAACAGAGGTGGAAAATTACTCACCGACTAAGTACAGAAAGTTGTGTTTAAAAAAAAAAAAAAAAACTCTGGTAAAAGTACTAATTTGACTGCTGTACTGAAGTACTGTAAAACTAACTATTTGTACTTCCAACATTCACCACAGGGGGCGGCGGTGGGCAAAACAAATCTGAGCCCTGCATACCTCTCTGTGCAGTCGGGCGTGTTGTTTTCACAGTGGATGCCGCTGAAGCCGGGCGGGCAAGTGCAGGTGTAGCTGTTGACGCAGTCGGTGCAGTTAGCGCCGTTTTTGCACGGGTTACTCTCGCACTCGTTGATGTCCTCGTCGCACGCTGGGCCCCGGAAGCCTGGCTGGCATGTGCACAGGAAGCCGTTGGCCACGTCCTGACACAGACCCCCATTGCTGCATGGGTCTGATGATGAAGGAAGGGACCGCAGTATGACTTGTGACCAAATTTTTTGTTTCAGTGAATGTGTATACATTCCATAATGACTATATTTTTAAACTTATTGAAATACAAGTTTTAAACACACTGTAAACATATTTCCACAGACACAAACATTTCAAGCATTAAATGTAAAAAATATTGTACACATTGTTGTGTTTGTGTGGTGTTATATGTGCCGTTAAGAGGCGGATGACAGCAGCTCTTGTGTGACTGTGCTCATTGTGTTTGTATTTAGGGTTTAACTATTAATATAGGCAATAATAAACATTTTTAAGGGGCGAGGGTTCCTAACCCCCGCCAGCAACTGGAAAGGTTAAAAGTCTTACTTGGCTTGCAGTCGTCAATGTCTGTTTCACAATTGCGTCCAGTGAAGCCGGGCTTGCAACCACAGCGGTAACTTCCCAGGGTGTTCTGGCACGTGGCTCCGTTGCGGCAGGGATTCTTCACGCACTCCTTAATGTCCACCTCACACGTTTGCCCTGGAAAAAAAAAAAAAGGCCACATGATAGGAACGTGGTTAACAAGAGACTATGACTCACAGTTGCTGAATGAAGTCACAAAGGTTTACCATACTTCATGCAAAAAGTCCAACATTTGATTAATTTTGTGGAAAAAAAATTTGGGGATGGGTATAAAAGCACAATTTTTTGATAATATTCAAGTGTGATCATCAGGAAAAACTCCATGATAAGTAAACGTCTAGATTTATCTTGATGGTTAGTGTTAATTCACCACTACCTGATGCTTGAGCAACCTCTGCCAATGTGCGTCCATGTAGATTGAATGTGGGGAAATGTGTTTGTAAAAAAGACCTGCGTATTGCGGATTATGTGGAGACAATACTTGAAATGATTTCGATTTTTTTCCCCAGTGCTGACCTTGCCATCCTTCTGGGCAGACGCAAGAGAAGCTCTGATAGTCTTCCGACTCCTGACACACTCCTCCGTGTTTGCAGGGTTTGCCACTACATGGGGCCATTACGCTTTCACAGTTTTCTCCTGTAACACAAAAACATAAGAATTAAAGCTGGACGCTGTAGTACACTTGCTTTGCATTGGGGCTTATTTGGATGAACTCTCGAGTAGGAGTTTGCCAAAGCGCCTGCCTTGGAATGTGACCAAATTGGTTGCTTCAAACCAATATGGCCGACTTCCAATACTTAATTTATTTCTCTTACGTTCTATAGGTTGCTACTGAGTGAGTTTTTGGACGACACTTTCATTCGCTTTATTGAAAAAAAAATCGAAATAACATGGTGATGAACGCATTCACACACCAGCTGCTACAGCCACCACTGACCTCCATTTTAATTTAACATGGAAACTAGCTAATGGTTAACCGACCAACAGCTAGCCGCTAATCTGAGCTCACGACAGCCAATTCTACACTCTTATTTGCTGGCTCACAGTAAACTAGTGCTGGACGATTTAGAAAAAGAATCTAATTGCGATTTTTTTTTCATTCACTTAACTGGTCAGTCTATAAACACAATTATCCAAAAAGTAAAATGTGTCCAGTGAATATGCTGAGTGGCCACTAACTCTGGGAAATCACTAGCCAAGTAGCTGGTGAGCAAAAACGTCAAGCGTCGACCAAAAGGTATACTTAATTTACTCCTGAGTTCATGACTCCATAACGATGTCACGAACTCAGGAGATAACCCGGTAAAAGAGGACCATCTTTCAATCAGTGCTATCGCGGGATTTTCTCCGGGTTCCGTCACTATTAAGAGGCCCAGTGGAGACGTTTCCCTATCTGTTTCCACAAGGCGCGTCTCCAACAGGAAGCGAGGCTACGGCTTCCGGCCATTGTGAGGACATTTGCTGCTGCTGTGAGACGGGAAAGCGGGCAAACAGGAAATGTGTGGAGCGCCCTGTTCCCACCCGAGAAAACGATCACTTTTTGGTTCGGTGTGGATTTTTCCAAAAAGATGATTTACATTGAAATAAGATATGACATGAAAAATATTTTGCAGGGATGCTTGTATCTCAGGAGACCAGAGGGGCGTGAAAGGAAAGTCTTGCTGCTGAATTTGGAATGGAAAGCTTGTTGAATTTGTGGCATGTTTTTCCTTCCCGAATGGCCGATAATTCAAGGAAGACAAACTGCAGAGTAATGCCTATGCGGTGAATAATATTTTCGTACCCGTGTAAGGAAGGACGCAGTTGCACTTGTAGCCCGCCACGTCGTCGATGCACGTCCCCTGGTTGAGGCACGGGTTGGAGGCACATTCGTTGATGTTGGTTTGACAGTTTGGGCCTGTGGTTGGAAAACACAAAGATGAAGAAAGTTGACTTTTTAAAACTACAGTCCGAAAAATGCAGATTGTTTTTGTTTTTCTTAGCTGTGACTTGACTAAACAAAAAACAAAGAGAATTCCAAACTGTTTTTACTCCATTAAAGAAAGAAGACAGAATGGACGTATGTGAGCCAACTGACCAGTGAAGCCAATGCGACAGGTGCACACGTAGCCGCTGGTCATATCCTTGCACGTGCCGCCGTTCATGCACGGATTGGACTCGCACTCGTTGTTGTTGATGTCGCAGTTTTTGCCGCTCCAGCCGGCGTCGCACAGGCATTTGTAGCTGCAATGGAAGGCAGCAACGGCTTCTTGATAATTCGCCCAAATGTAGAGCACAAATACTCCAAGAAATGAAGCATAAAATGTTACTTTAAGAGGACATATCTAATGCAGAACTGACTTTTTGACTGCATGTTGGCATGATAAAACTATATTTATTATATACTATATACCAATATAGGACATCTTGCTCAGATTTCTTTTTTTGTTTACATTTAAATTTCTCTGAATTCCTCCTAAATGCTGCTGTATTGTGTCTTGAGTTAGGTATGTCAATTACTTGCGGCAAGGCTTGTGTCACTGCATACGCCATACACGGGATCTCAACACCGATTGATGAGTGTAATTTGGCGGCTTGGTGATGAAGTGCCGCCTTCCCAGATGAAAATACAGATGCTGTCTTTTCGGGGCCTCACCCGTTGAGCTTGTCCTCGCAGTGCCCGTGGACGCAGGGGTTGCTGAGACACTCGTTGACCTGCGAGAAGCAGGTGGCATCGTCGTAGCCCTCGGGACACACACATGTGAAGCGGTTGATGCCGTCGATACACGTGCCGCCGTTGTGGCACGGGTTGAGGGCGCACTCGTCGATGTTGATGTTACACATGGCACCTGGAACAGAGAAAGGAGAAGGGTGGTTTTTTTTGTTTCCCCCACCACATAGTTTGTAGCAGATATTTTCAGATTTTCTGTTAAGAAAAAAAGAAGTTGATGCAAAAATGTTTCAAAGGTTGTGTGGTATCAGGTGAAAGAAAATAGTAAACGAAAATTTGAATACTGTAATGTACTAATTTTAATGTAATTTGCTTTTACAATAAAAATGGGAGGAGTCAATGTAAATCTGAAATTTTATTTTTGTGGAAAAAAAAAAGTTGAAGATGTTCTTTGATGACCATTTAGGGCCACCGGCCCTATTTTGCAGTTTCGTCTCCTTTTGTCGGCGACTTGAAGCGCCGCCGCCATTCATGACACAAGAGAAGGCCATTTGGCTTTAATTCCAGGACAGGCTTTCCAAGCTTTTAAAAGCTCAACTTTCAGGAATCTTTCACTGAATCTTTTCTTCTGCTCCAATCCTCAGTGACGCTGCCCACAACGGTGTGTGTGTGTTTGTGTGCGTCCTCTTTGTACGGGAAGGCAGCTTGCGTGTCCGAACAGCGGCGGGTTGGGGACAGGGTGGAGCGGGAAATCGACACCGGTCCGGCCTCGGAGGAGCGTGCTGGCTCGCCCACCAACTGTCGGCCTCACCCCGTGACAATTGAACTTTGCAAAAACTGCACCAGGTTGTGCCAACTGGTCACCTGAGACTCAAACAACCCAATCTTAAATCAGCTCTTCGGTCCGGTCTCAAGTCGCATAAAGGCCAAAATCAAGCAATGATGTATGATCTCACTGTATGTCATACATTTCAAATGCAACATGTTTTGACAGTGATTTCTCACGAGTGAAAAATGTCACACTCTACCTGTAAATTTCCATCCATTCATTTTCTACATTGCTTATGCTCAGAGGCGGAACAAACCCTGGATTGGTCACTAATGACTCGCAGGGCACATAGACAAAGAGCCATTCACTTTCACACCAATTGACAATTTTGAGTTTTCAATCAACCTAAAATGGATGTTTTTGGAAACTGGGAAGAAGCCAGAGTACCCTGAGAAAAGCAGGACCTCGCAACTGTGAGGCGGAGGTGCAGCGCTAGTACGACAACTCTCCTTTAAATGCACACGTTTCTTACCAGTGTATCCGGGCTTGCAAGCACACTCGTAGCCGTTGATCTTGTCAATGCAGGTCCCATAGTCACACGGGTTGCTCTTGCAGTCATCAATGTTGATTTCACAGTTGATTCCTGCCAAAAAAAAAAAACCAAAACACATCCAGTCATCCTAAAGAAAAGAAAACAACTCCATAGTCCTTCCTACCGGCGGTTCCCGTAAGACAGTTGCAGATGTACACGTTTTCCCGGTCTTGGCAGACGCCGCCGTTCCTGCACGGCTGGCTGAGACACTCATTGATGTTGGTCTCGCACAGCCGCCCCGTGTAACCTGGGTGGCAAAGGCAGCTGAAGGAGGCCAGGCCGTCCACGCAGGAACCGTAGTGGCACGGGTCTGGGTGGCACTCGTCCATGTCCGTCTCGCAGTGCTGCCCAGTGTAGCCTGACCAGAAGGATGGATTTTAACACAGTGGTACCTCAATAGATCAGTTCAATATGTTGCACTATATTGAGAGCTAGTTAGCTAGCTAGCTATATGGATGGACAGATGGACAGACAGTCACATAGACAGACAGAGCTAGCTACATACAGCTAGCTCAATACTCTCAAGACAGTATACCTTCTGTGCACTCGCACGTGTACTTGTTGGGCCCGTCTGTACAATTGGCGCCATTGTTGCACGGTGTGCTGGCACACTCGTCGATGTCGATCTGGCAAAGGTGCCCGGTGAAGCCTGGAGCAACAACAAGAGGTTGTGTGGGTGTGAAGGAATGCGAATGTGGAATACAGTGGTGGGCAAAGCATGAGCAGTGGGCCAAGGCAGCCCCTGTCATAGTTTTAATTCTGCCTCTTGCTACATCCCTTAAAAGTTGGTTAGTTGAAAAGAAATAATTAATGCTTTTTTTTTTTTTTTTTTTTAATCTCATGAAATATTTTTTCAGTGTAAACAATGAAATAAATGATGACTTTAAAGTGTGGCAGAGAGTGGAATTACACCCAATATGAACGGGAAGCAGAATGAAATTAATTTAAAAACTGTACCAAAAAAATATACAAAATTCAAAATAGCTGGATCACAAACATGGACCCTGTGACAGAGGGGGGATTTCTGTATTGTGGTTAAGGAGTAAGGAATGAGTGATTTTAAACATTGTCTTGGTGAACGTCCTACTGGTGCTTGAAAACACTCAAGATGTAAATAGAATGAGGAGGAAACGAGTGTGTATCAAGAGAGCCGCGTAGACTGAGGGAATGACACGATTCAATGGCTCTCAGCAGGGGTTTCCATGGCTATGGCGTGTACAGAAATGAAAAGAGGGGTCCCGCATCTCGGGCTTGAGGGGGAATTTACATTTCAAGCACGGCACCCCCCGCCCCCCCCCTTTTTAAGCCTCCCTTCCTGCTTCTGCAATAACGGTCCATGCATGCTCCCGCCAAAACACTTTCACTGCCACCACTACCTCACGTAACCCTGGTACTAAGCCTCGGTGTGTTGGCGCTTTATCACATCTAACGCTTTCTTTCCCTCTTTTATTCATCTGGAGAAATTCTGCTTCCCCCCCCCCCCAGGCTTCCTCTGATCCTTGTTGAAAAATAAAAGAATGAAGTCAGGGAGGGAAAAAAATCATTTCCACCTCAATAAACGTGTTTGGCAAGTTTGAAGAAGCTTCCAATCCCCCTTTTTTTCTCTTTTTCTTTGTTGGTCTCTTTTCCAGTTTCAGTAGCTGCATTCCTTCACTGAACAAAACATGAAAAAGTCCCAATAGTGATACTCTACAGCAACGGTTCTCAAACTGGGGTAACAAATCATGTGCATACTAACATAAGCGTACCAGCGCATAATAAAACAAACATAATAGACTAATTATTTCTTTCTACCTTAGCTTTGGCCCAATTAAAAGCGCTGACATGAGTGAAAATCACCATAAAGAAATACCCATTTAAATACTCTGCAGGCATGTTTTTATAGCATTTATGCCACTTATTTTTTAAGGCCTTTGAACATACTTATATCATTACATAAAAAACAAAACACAACACAAAAATATTGTATTGTATAGTGTACGTAACCCTCTGCGTTTAAACACGTCCCCTTTTTCGAAACTAACAAACTGAGCATCTCACAATATACATCAATAATCTTGCCTAAAGATGTCAATTATAAAATGAACCTGCAACTGTCGCTTTCTGTAATCTGAAAAAGGAGGAAGACGGCAAATCATTTTCAACAAACAATTGCTGAAATACTTCCTGTTTTGTTCTTCTTCTTCTTCTTCCAACTGTTCACCTTCACAAACTACATAAGCTTACCACCATCTAGCCGGTCGAAAGTGGAATTATAGAGCACCCAATCGGCAGGAGAGTTAGATCAAAATAGCTTTTATCCCCCCAAATTGTAGCCTTTGTAATTTGAAAAAAAGCATTCTCCTATATTGCCACCTTGATTTGAATTTCATGAATTGTTCAGCCCTCATGATAACTGCTCATCAATCAAATACTGTACTCATATTTGTAAAATTAATTGATTTTCGAAAGGAAATTCAGTGGGGTATATCTTCCTCGTTATTGATCAAATTCTATCGACATTACCCATCTACAACAATAAAGGTTCATGTATTTTTTTTCTCTCACACGTCTGTTTTAAAAATCCCCAAAAGTCATGCCCACCCGTGCACGAGAGGAATTTCTGGAAAAAAATGAGCACATGGACACACAATCAAGTCATTTTCACATGTATCCAGTCAGCCATCGAACTGACTTTGTAGTTAAAGGATAAAAGGGGAGGGGGGAAAAAAAAACTTATAGAAAGTTGAAACTTCTCCAAGCTTTTCCCCCCATAGATTTTTCCTCCTTCTCCTCGTCCTCCTGCGTTGCTGCTTTGGTTCAAGCTAGCAGGGCCGGCGTAAGCCTGCCTCAGGGCTTGGGATTAATGCGCGTTCACAGAGCTGTTTGTGTCGACGCCGGGCGCTCTGTTTGTCTTTGAGAGGGAGGGGAAGGAGCGCGAGCGAGAGAGAGATCGACCTCTGCGCCCCCTGGCCTGCCGCGCTCTGCGCTCATCCTATTTGCATCTCTCCCCCCCTCCCCGGTTCGGCCCGCTTCACCTCGGCGGCCTCACCTGTGGGGCACTGGCAGTGGAAGGCGTCGGTCTTGTCGATACACTTGCCGCCGTTCACGCAGGGGCTGTGGGCGCACTCGTCTGTATCGATCTCGCAGAACTCCCCCTCGTAGCCTGGCCAATTAGCGAGGGAGGGGAGGGTGGGGGGGGGCACGTGTTAGTTCGACAGAAAGAGAGTGAGCGAGAGAGAGAGGCACATTCAGGGAAGTTTCTTCACTACGCCATGTCCAACTTGACAAACGCAAGCCCAAAATCTTCCTTCGCTTCACCGAAAGGTGAACTTGTTGCTGTTGGCTGTTAATCAGGATACGTACACTCTTTCTATGTAACTGTACTCTAAATGACAATGCCTGAAATGTTGAAAGCAATGAACTTTTTTTTCATTTGTTGTACTATTACAGAATAAGGCTGAACGATCAACTGCATTTGCAATATAATCGCGATTTGATAAAAGGCCATGATTTAAATAGTCAAGAGCCTTATGATTATTTATGGGTGGTGAGGTGGCACGGTGATTGACTGGTTAGCACGTCGGCCTCAGAGTGCAAAGGTACAGGGTTTGATTCCTGCTCCGGCCTTCCTGTGCAGAGTTTGCATGCTCTCCCTGTGCCTGCCTGGGTTTTCTCCGGGTACTCCGGTTTCCTCCCACATTCCAAAAACATGCATAGCAGGTAAACAAAGTGTTCTAAATTGTCTCTAGGTGTGAGTGTAAGCATGGATGGTTACTCGTCTATGTGTGCTCTGAGATTGGCTGGCAACCAGTTCAGGGTGTACTCCGTCTACTGCCCAAAGACAGCTGCGATGGGCTCCAGCACGCCCGCGACACTCGTGAGGATAAACTGATTAGAAAATGGATGGATGGATGGATGGATGGATATGGGGGGTGTGGTGGGGATTTCGTACGATGGGAACCGATGAGTGTCTTGCACTCACTTTTGATTGAAACTAACCCCCGATTGATCAATTAATAGACTGATTACAAATCGAGTCCCAATCCCTTCGTCCGTAGCAGATGTCATCGTCAAAGACACAAACCTGGCATGCAGATGCAGTGGAACTCTCCGATCTGGTCCAGGCAGGTGGCCTCGTTCCTGCACGGGTTGGACGAGCACTCGTTGATGTCCAACTCACAGCGCGGTCCCACGTAGCCCCGCTGGCACTTGCACTGGAACGAGCCCTTGGTGTTGATGCACTTGCCGGCGTGCTCACATGGGTTGGGACCTGGTGAAAGGAGCACATTTGACACTTGGGGGAAAATGCAATCCAATTTCAACAAAGTGAGGTTGTAAATGTAGGTCAGCAGAGAAGCAAAGTAGCGCTCTTTCGGTGGCCCCTATTGAACTGAGAGTTTTATTTCTTTATTTAATTCGTTATTTTACCCAGTGAGCACTCATCGACGTCTTGATCACAGGATGCCCCCAGGTAGCCCGTAGGGCAGGTACACAAGTGATTCCCGTTGACGGGATTGGTGTCGCAGTTGGAGCCCTTCTGACAAGGGTTGCTGATGCAGGCGTCATCCAGTTGGCACAGCAGACCTGCGGCCAAACACCCACTCTTTGAAAAATCGATCCAGATGTAGTGTATTTAATATATATACAACAGAACTTGTTTGCTTGTGCTTGTTTGCATATTTATATCCAAGTATATTTACAGTCAGAGGTGGGCAGCTTAGCCAATGATTGAAATCTGTTACTTTACATGACTCAAGGAAAAGTAGTCCTCCAAATGGTGATGAGCAAGTAGCGATACCAAATATCAAGGCTTGTAAAGGATACCGATGCCAGCCACCGATACTTAAGCCCCAAAGTTTTTGAAGTAGATGTAGAGTCCACTTCAAAAATGTACGTGGATCCAGATGCTTTTTTTCTGCAACCACTTGGCCCAATAAAATTGAGTAAATTCAACACACCATTTTTTCCAGTGTTCTTGACTTTGGAAATTGAGAAAATTCAAGATCTCGATCATTTTCCGCCGATAATGGTCAGCTGAAAATCATGTGATCGGCCCCGATTTCTGACACTTCTTCCTTGGTACGTGCATCCTTCTCCGCAGCGCTTCACCAAAATCCCCCCCCACCTCCTTGGCGCAGGTATTCCGGACAAACCTGTGCGGCCGTGGGGACACTCGCAGACGAAAGAGGCCACGCGGTCGTGGCAGGTGGAGCCCTGGTGGCAGGCGGCGCTGGCGCAATCGTCAATGTTCTCGCCGCAGTCGTCGCCCGCCCAGCCATTGACACACACACACTGGAAGCCGCCGTAGGTGTTGTGGCACGTGCCGCCGTTTTGGCAGGCTTTGGGCATCAGCTGGCACTCGTCCACGTCCTCCATGCACAGTTGACCTGTCAGAGGGGACAAATGAGCTTGATGATCCACTCAGCATTTAACTTAATTCAGTTGTTATGAATAAAAACAAAACACATCCAAATATATGGAAATAAAAAGTTACATAAGTCATGTACAGGACTCCAGAATGTCCCGAATTAATAAAAACAAATTATAAAAAGGTATATGAGTAAAATAGAAAATTTGACATACGCTTTTCTTTTAACATGACTCAATTCAATTCAGAAGTTTTATATATGCATCTTCACCTTTTTACTAATTTACGAATCACCTGGCCCATCGCCGTCTTTTTTGTTGTTGTTTTTTTTAAATCCAAACTGGCCCATTGAGCACCAAATTTGAGCTCCAGCCTGACTAACCTGTGAACTCGGGCTGACACTGGCAGTTGTAGGTGTTGAGACTGTCGACGCAGGTGCCGCCGTTCTGGCACTCGTGACCCAGGCAGTCGTCAATGTTCTGGTTGCAGTTTTTCCCCGTGAAGCCTGCCAACAGCCAAATGTGATGTGATTTTTCCACTGCTCAAACTGCCTGAACACCTCAGTCTGTTGTCAGTTATTCTTCTAATCCCTTGGTGGGGTATTCACGGTAATGAAAGTGCAGAGACATGTGGCCAACTGCTTCTTTCCTCCATCTGTGCAATTGAGGTCTGCGGCACCTTTGCCGCGCATCAACATTCACTCAACGGTTCATGAGAATGAATGGGAATTAACTCCAACGAGACTGTGAAGATAACCTTAAACACATTGTTTTATTATAAGCAAACATGCAAAAAGCACTGCAATTTCTGGCACACAGTTTGAAATTGAACATTGCGCTTCAATATCGTCAAAAGTGTGCTCCTATCATGATACAATTCAAATGTACTGCACAGAACACAAATTGTACCGAAATACATATTTAAAAAGAAACACTTCTTAAATGGTATTAGACTTTAAAGTTAAATACAACCGAACTGTACTTAACTGGATTAGGGGAAAAAATGAGGGAGGGTAAGTGCCAAGTGAATCAAAAGAAGCCGATCATTAGTTTGGCAACAAGCGTTGGAACAAGGCAAATTCCAGTAAAGGTGTGTGTGTGTGTGTGTGTGTGTGTGTGTGTGTGTGTGTGTGTGTGTGTGTGTGTGTGTGTGTGTGTGTGTGCGTGTGTGTGTGTTTGGAGGCGGCAAGCTGGCGCGGAGGCACCATTGGCTACAGTCTGGCTGGGCTATGTGCAAAGGATGTTGTCCCTGTGACCATTTCCTTTCCGATAAGCCCAGATGCCTTCCTGCTTTCGCCCTGTTCACACACAGACT